TGTTCGTCGCGCCGTCTGGCATCGGCGAATTGCAAGTGCGCCCGATAGGTTGATCTTGAAACTGGATGTCCTGTGTCGCAGCGCTGTAGCCAGGCAAGGTCAATCGTCACCCGGCGCGCCACATAGTCCCATTGAGGGCCATTTTTAGGAAAGTGGACGTAAGTCCGAGCTACCTTATGAGCGCGCGCAGCACTTGTATGATTTCTCTGTGTGTTATGCTGGTCTATTCGGTCAAGTGGCCTTGCAGCCTTGCAGTCATGATGGCGATTGCTTCGTTTCGCCATCCCGCCCTCTGAGCCCCTTGGCCGTGCCAATCTAGCTCATGTTCTGCTCGTTGAGCAGGCCCCCCCGCAACTTGGCGCGCGCGCCTCCACGGATTAGGGGAATGCGCGCGTGAGTGGTCGCCGCCTGTAAGTACGAGCTGCTCGGCAAGCAACTCGAACGGTCGAACTTCATGCCGAAGTGACAACATCGCATTCGCATGATCTGCAAGCCTAAATCTTCAATGGTGTCACGTACAGGACCGTTTCTCCAGAAATGGAGGTCCCGTGAATACAATAGACATACGTAAGGCCCAAGCTTTGACCGTGAGATTTTGGATACGTTGATAATGTGGCCCCGCCCGCTGCCCACGCAGTCGCACATGCCAGTCAGCGGGAGTTGCCGACCACAGTCGTAGGTAATCCCCTGAGAGTAAACCACCCGAGTACTGTGTACCAGTAGAGGTCATAGCCACTGTGTGCAATGCGGCCACACATGTATCCTCGAGCTCGGAGTTCAGGGCAAGCTGTTCGCATATCTCCAATGACAAGGGCACGAGAGCGATACTGATGAGATGCGCGATCCTTTTCTGCGGCAGCCGCACAGCCGGGTCCGCCGCTGCCCCTGGCGCACGCGGCCGGCGCCCGGGAAAAGTACGCAGGTGCCCCCGCACCTGAAGAAAGCACCTCAGTGTTCAGCCTGTCCGGGCAAGCGCGAGCGGCCGCGGCGCGCGCCTGCCCCCGCCTCTCATTTTCAAGCGATGGGGGCGTCCATGCGCCCGTGCCATGGGCGCCTGAGCCACTGCTTGAGGTAAAGATGTCATACTTCTCGGCAGTGTCGCTCGATGCGGCGGGTTGCCCCGCAGTCGCGGGCTGCCCCGCTTGGCTGTTGGGTGGCGCCCACATGCTGCCCTCCTCGCAGATGGCAGATGGCCTGATAGACCTTCGCCTGCATGTTCCGCACGGCGAAGTCCTGATCGGCAGGCGCGGGCATGCCGCCGGACACCGCGTCCCCGCGATACTAGGTCTTCAAGGTGTTGTTGGTTTTGACAAATGAGTTGACACATCCCGCGCTCTTGCAAGCACCCCGCCCACCCACCCGCAACTTGGTTTGCAAAATCTCAATGACCGTGACGGCGGGTACCAAATGGCACTTGCCAGCGACAGCGACGCCGACGACGACAACGACAACGACGACGCAGCCGGCAACGACTACGACGACACCGACGACGTCTCCAACGACTTCGACGACGCCGACAACGACGACGACGACGACGACGACGGCGGCGACGACGACGACGCCGACGCCGACGACGACCACGGCGATGACAACGACGACGACGACGACGACGCCGACGACGACGACAACGACGACACCGACGACGACGACGACGTCACGACGCCGACGACGACGACGACGACGGCGGCGACGACGACGACGCCGACGTCGACGACGACGAAGACGACGACGACGCCGACGCCGACGTCGACGACGAAGACGACGACGACGTCGCCAACGAAGACGACGACGAGGGAGGAGAGAGGACGACGACGGCGACAACGGCGACAACGACGACAACGACGAAGGAGGAAGGAGGACGGCGACGACGCGGACGACGAAGAATGAGGAAGGACGGCGACGCCGACGACGACAACGACGAGGGAAGAGGGAAGACGACGACGACGACAACGACGACGACGACGACGGCGACGAAATAGGAGGGACGACGACGAGACGCCGACGACGGACGACGACGACGAGGGAGGAGGAGGAAGGACGACCACGGCGAAAACGACGACGAAAACGACCACGACGCCAAAGAGGACGACAACGACGAACACGAGGAAAGACAGAGGACGGCGTAGGCGACGACGACGACGACGACGCGGGAGGAAGGGCGACGGCGACGACGACGACGACGACGACGCAAGAGCGCGCGCGTGCGCTTTTGTTGAAAATCCGTGTTGCGAAACCTTGTGTGTTTGCAAATGCTTTGGACGCGCGATTTTGAAACCCTTTCGAAAGCGATGGGTTTTAGAGAAATTCGGCATGCGCGCGCGACGACGCGCGCGTCTGCACTTCGCCCCGTTTTCTTGCAGAGAATTCTCGCTCGCGACGGCGCGCGCGCAAGGGCGTTCGACAGATTTCGACATGCGCGCGCGAAGCCCGTTTGGTGGCATTCTGCGAACATCTCCAACCAAAAAAGCCTATGGGTTTCTTGCAATTTTCGCAGCAGCTCGCGCGTAAGCTTTTTTAGCAAACCAGTGTTGCGAAACCCTGTGTGTTCGTGCGTTTTGGGAACTCGATCGCGAAACCCTTCCGACGCCGAAAGTTTTTGAAGGATTTCGGCATGCGCGCGCGACGACGCGCGCGCGCGCACTTCGTCCCATTTGTTGCAAGGGGTTCGCAAGAAAGTCTTGTGTTAGAACCAAAAATGTCCCCGCGTATTGATTTGTTCAAGGGAACCTCAGGGGGGGGCGATGCCGGTTCCCCCGGGAAAATGAAAATTCTTATATTTAGGATGAGCATGTGGTCATACTCACATATGATTTACATGCCCGAAAAGGGGGCGGATAATGCCGGGGGGGGGATCTATTCTCTGTTTGGAAAAGAGACTTCACCATAAGCTGGATCGCATATGAAAATGTATCCTCGTTGATGGAGTGACTCATGCCCTTGGCGTCCTGGGGCGCTATGCAAGTGCGGGCGTCGTTGGGGGCGGGTGCCCCCGCGCTGCTAGACGCAGGTTGTCCCGCAATCGGCTCCACACCTGCAGTCTCCTTGATGAACACGAGCGTCTCCTCGCACTGAGGGTTGGCCGTGATGGTAGAAACTGTGGAACCATCGGCCTCCGTTACTTCCCCGTGCTCGTCGAGCATGATCGCCAGATGTCCTGATGGTGTCTTTATCAGGTCCAACACCCTGGCGCCCTTACCGAGGAGGAACCCGTTCATGTCTGCGCCTGGGATGATCATATTTGAGAGAGCGTGATCCACCGCCGCTTCACTATGGAAAATTGCCGCCCTCTTCCTCCGGACCCCGCCCCCCCCCCCCCTCCGAAAATCCCCCCTCCCCCCCCCTGCTGCCCCCCCCCCCCCCTTCCCCCCCCCCCTTCCCCCGCCCCCCCCCTCCCCTAACCCCCCCCCCCTCGAGCTCGAAAACCGAGGGGGGCCACTACCGGTTCGAACCCCCCCCCAAAAAAAAAAGGAAGGGGGGGGTCACTACCGGTTCGAACCACTGAGCTGTCCCACTGTTCCCACCACTGTCCCCACTGTCCCTACCACTGCCCCCACTGCACCTCTGTCCCATTGTCCCACCGCCGTCCTCGCCACCGCCATCACCACTGTCCCCACCACCACTGTGCCCTCCACTGTCCTACTGTTTCCACCACATTCCCACTGTCCCCACACCGCTGTACCCACCACCACCGTCCCCACCACTGTCCCACTGTCCCCACTGTTCCCACCATTGTCCTCACCATCGTCCCCGCCACTACCGCCCCCGCCACTGTCCCACTGCCCCACCGCTGTCCCGCTGTCCCCTCACCGCTGCCCCACCACCACCGCCCCCACCACTGTCCGCACCCCCCTTCGGTTTTCGAGGGGGGGGGGGGTCGAACCGGCAGTGACCCCCCGGGCTTTCGAGCTCGAGGGGGGGGGGGGGCTTCGAACCGGCAGTGACCCCCCCCCCCCCCCTTTTCATGATGACCTGGGGGAAGGGGGTTCGAACCGGCAGCGATCCCCCCCCCCCCCTGGTTTTCCGGAGGGGGCGGGGGGGGGGTCTCGAACCGGCAGTGACCCCACCGGTGTTCCGCTAGCAGCGGTAGAACACGCGCTTTATCATATTTTCATGTCCCTGCTCAAGGATCAGGATGATACGCGTGTTCGACATGCTACTCAGCCCCAGGATTGCGGGTAGATGAGAGGGTGTCTAGCCTGACAATAGCGGGTGTCCCCGCGGAGTCGCCCTCGACTTTGCAGTGCATTGACTTTTCGCAAACGGCGGCTCCAATTCCCACTCCAGACACGCACAGTCTCTTCGTCAGATTCAGCCTTCTGACGTCGTGTCCATGCAAGCGTGAAATTTGCTCGAATGTCTGCGCAGTTCTCAAACCAATGATGCTTGGATTGCTGCCAACGTCCAGCAGGATAGTCAGCATTCCATCCGTCATAGTTCCCCTGTTCGCGGCTAGGGCTAACTCATGTCGTTCACCGAATATGCCCAGCACAGCGGACAGCGTCGTGCCGCGCATGCCCTTGCGACGCTTTTGATGCAGCAGCCACTGGTCCCTCGTCGTAGATGTAAAGACGTTCATGTACCCCCCGGCCCCCTCTTCTGCCATAGGTTTGTTGCTGTTTGAAAATCCATGCAGAGGGGTACTCGTCACACATAAAAGGATGTTGTTAAATAGGCGGCATGTTATCAAAGGTGTCCTCGTCGGCGCGCACGGCTATCTGCCGCGCGCTCGCTGGGCCCTCGGTTCTGCGCGAGCGTAGCGGGTGTCCCCGCGCCCTGCCACATGGCGTGCGAAGCCATTGTGAGCTTGCCTCCGTGGCTCTCTCCATGCGTCTCAGCCACGCATGATTGGCGGGCAACCCTGCTGGCATCGTTGCAGCAGGTTTCCCTGCAGTAGCTGCTGACTCGGCTACCAGAGGCATCTGCATTTCTGTAGCTGGCATGGTTGCTGTTGGGTTTGGCCACGCATATGGAGGTGCAGCAGGTTGCCCCGCAGATGCAGCAGGTGTCCCTGCAGTGGCTGTAGTGCCCGAAGCTGTCCTCGAAGCTGGGGATGCGCCCCGCGACCAGGACGGCCAGGGCGGGGAGGCCCGCGAGGACCCTCTGTAAGATGGCCTCGTCGCCGACGAGCATCTCGAGGACCTGCAGCACCTCGTTCCTGTCCTGCACAGCCGCATACAGGTCTGCCTGGAGCCTGGAGATGAGCCGAACTGCAGAAAAGCGTGCGTGCTCGCTCGCGCGTGGCCTCCGCGATGCACGAGTCGAGCCGATGGCGCCACCGCATGGGGCGCGTCCCGCTGCCATCACTCCGCGAGCCCAAAGCCCCCCCCCCACCGTCCCTCACGCCCGCCGCGTTGCCCCGTGAATCTGGGGTGGTCGCAGGGCACTCCGAGGGGCAAGGTCCAGGAGGGGGGGCCTACGGAAAGGCATGAACCAGAATGGCTACGGAGGGGAGAGGGCGGGAGGACGCTGGAAGACTCGGGGGCGAGGGCGTTGGAGGAGGCGGGGTAGGAGGAACACGTTCAAACGCACAACGCGCAGCGCGTGCGTGCCCACGGCAGCCGCCAAGGGGCCAGGGCCACAGGACTCAGATCCGCCGCCGCGCCTGCACGGCAGAGGCGGGTTAGAATGCCTGTGAGTTGTCTTGTAGCGTTCCTGTGAAATGTCTTGGGGTCACCCTCTTCCTCACGCCAGGCTGCATGCGCCGCTCCCACTTCCCGAAGCCTCGTCGGCGCCGAGACATGCCCCTGGCGCCGTCCGAAAAGTCCAAGATGGCGGCCAACATGGCTCAACTAGGCCAAGGGGGCCGCCAAGATTACCCAATGCCGATTCAAGACAGCCCAAGATGCAAGACGACCTAAGATGGCCTCGAAACGGCCCAAGCGGCTTCCAAGACGGCCCGAAACGGTTCCAAGAGAGCGCCCAGGAAGGAATCCTCCAGGATGGAGGGTTGGCAGAGTCCTACAGAAACCAGCAGACTCCGCCAGGCCCCCTGGGGTTCCTGGGGGGTCCTGGGCAACGCAGGGGGTATGCCTCCAATTTGGGGGTACGGCCGCAATTTGAAATCAGTATGTTTCCTGGCGCCTGCGGCGGAGTTTGGAAGGATGGAGGGTCGGAATTGAATTTGAACGAGATTCCCAATAATATTTGCGAAACAAATTCGGACGAACACGCACAATTTACGCGCGCATCAAATACTCCCCATGTCCCGAGCCTGTCGCAGGGTCATCAGTTCGTCGTTGTCGTTGTCGTCGTGGTCGTCGTCGTCGTCGTCGTTGTCCTTCTGGGTCGTCGGCACCGGCCGCAAGGCCTTCACAATATGTGTATGTGGCCAGGTGCGCTACAGCACCACTACATTATCAAAACTCGTTCGCAATCCGAGAGACTAGCAAGAGTGGTCCGCTGGACATCTGTGTACGTCGACGCCCTGGTATACAGACACAGGCACATGTTCACATGCGCGCTTATGTGAATGAAATTCGAAAACATGATTAGCACGCGCGCAGGCGCACGTCCCTGCAAATCAAACTGCATCCTTTGCGCTGCGGCCCCGCATCCCTCTCACACGAGCCTATGCCTGCCTTCCTGTTGCATGTGCGCAACCAAGCACGCATAGCCGTGGCCCACAAACAAAATGGTAGACAAGCAACCGCCATGCATCACGCATGCGAGTTGTAAATGAAAGGGCCCCCTCACGTGCCATGATTGCGTCGCACAATCAGCCCGCTCTCAGTACTGGATGACGTGATCAGAGTCGAGAGCAAGGATGTTTGTGAGTTCGTGGGGTGCAAGCGAAGGTACGGAGAACAGTGCCGACGGTCTTGGCGACTGCGAGCAAAAACAGGCACGAGCAGCTACGACCGTTCCGACGGACCTACCGCCGAAAGGAGAAATGGGGGCTCCCCCCTGTAGACGGCCTTGCTGGGTGGTGGGGAGGGCCCGAAAGTCTCCCTGGGAGTCGAGAGGAACACCACTGAGGCCCCACAAACATGCGTTCTCTGTGCGAGTCCAGCCCGCTCGAATGCGCTGGCGAATTGACTGCATCGCAGACTCGCACCGTTGAAAAAAATAGGCTGACTGCATCGCAAGCCGCGCGCCGTTGACTCAGGCCTTCTTAGATGACTGTACCTGATCGACGACCTCCGAGATCTTCTCCCCGATCTGGTCCACAAACTTGTACTTATTGTTCAGCTCCACGGCCTTGTCGACGGCCTGAGAAGCGAGTTCGCTGCCAGAGGCCAGGATGGTGCCCAGGGTGTCCTTGATGCCGACGTCTTGGTCGACTGACGTGTAGGCATCCTTGACGCCGCTCCAAGCATCGTCAATCGTCTTCTTCGTCTCAGGGTTCGACTCCAGGGCGCTCGCAAAGGAATCACTGACCGTGCTCGTGACCGCATACTTGTCATTCAGGTAGGCGCCGAAGTTGAGCGCCTCGAGGGCAGTGGAAGATACGCCCTTCAGGGCTTTGGACACATCGGAATCCTCCTGCCTGGACAAATAGGACGACACCGCGAAGAGGGCCGCCCCGATCCAGACGCCCCCCGTAAGCAGGCCGACGGTGCCGCCCAGGAGGCTGGCCGTGGTGATGGCATTCTCCTCGGTGACCTTCACGAGCGCGACGGACTTCTCACCCTCCGCCCGCAGGGGGACCGCGCCCTGTCTCGCTCTCAGCTGCACCGGAGATCCAACGAAAGCGCTGCCGGAGCTGAGGGCCACCAGTGCGGCCACGACGAACCCCAGCCCGAGGACAACGGCGCCGAGTGCATGCGTGCGCCGGCCAGCCATCGCTCGAAGAGGGGAGGCCCTGCGAAGCGGCGAGAAGGACGAAGGGGCACGCCCTCCTCCCAGAGCTCAATGGAGATCTGGAGCCACAAAGGCTGCGGATATGTTCTGTGCACAGAAGGAAGCCACTGTGAACTCGAACAACGAGCAGCTACGACTGCACCGCGGCGTCAATAGCCGACGGGAGAATGCTGGGGCCGATCCTGCAGGCGGCCTCGATGGGTGCTGGCCGAACGTCTCCCCAGGAGCGGCGAGAGAACCCGCTGAGGCCCCGCGATGCCGACCAAGAAGTAGCGCCGTGCCTGTCCTCCTCCTCCTCCTCCTCCTCCTCCTCCTCCTCCTCCTCGTGCTTCTGCTACTGCTGCTCCTCCTCCTCCTCCTGCTGCTCCAGCCCCTCCTGCGCATCCTCCTCCTCCCCACAGCGGTGAAGGGCCGAATGCTGGCCCTGGTGCTGCAAGCTTTCTCTGCACTCCAGGTGCAGCCGAGGCTGAGTCGGCGCGCTTGAAGGAGGGGGGAAGGAGGCCTCAGGTTTCAGGACTCAGGCTTAGCGAGGTTCTGTCCAGGAGAAAAGGGCCACACAGCCACGCGCTCAACGCCAAAGTCGCATCCTCATCATCCTGCTCTGCCTCGTTATCCACCTCCTGCTCATCCAAGGGCCGGAGATCGGTGCACACGCAGGGCTGGGTCATGGCACCTGCGTGCAGATGCAGGGAGGACCACACGAGGAGGGGATGGGGGGGGAAGACGAGGAGAAGGAGGAGGGGGAGGACGAGGAGGAGGAGGAAGAGGAGGAGGAGGAGGAGGAGGAGGAGGAGGAGGAGGAGGAGGAGGGGGAGGAGCGGGAGGGGGAGGAGGGCGACGACGAGGCGAGAAGGTATTTAGAGGAGGAGGAGGAGGCGGACGAGGAGGAGGAGGAGGAGGAGGAGGAGGAGGAGAGGAAGGAGGAGGGAGGAGGGACCCAGGGAAGGAGGAAGGCAGGAGGAAGGACGGAAGAGGGGGGCAGGGGGAGGGCGAGGCCTCTTCCTCATCATCCATCTTGGCATGGTAGTCGAACATACGTTTGCAACTGCAGCGCGCATCGATGTATACGTCAGCCAGCATGCATGCGCACGCACGCTGATATCCGCCACCACGTCTTGGGCACGTTGAGGCGTGCTGGAACGCGTGCTGGTTGTCTGGGATAATTTCAACGGGTCTTCTAGGACTGGCCTGACCGTACTAGCTACCGCCATTTGACCCCATCTCTGATGCTGCTGCCTGGCGACGTCTTCGGCCTCCAGACGAGTACAAGATTTTCAAAGACCGCTGCAAAACCACGACATGCTTCAAGACCGTTCGCGGAAGACTGAAACGAGCCCCCATATTCTCCAGCATCGGCCTAAGCTGCCTCATGGGGTCCCCAGAAATCTCCAAAAGACGCCCAAATCCCAAATATGACTCCGACGAATCCTTACGGGTCGAGGCACGTCAGATTTTACCCAGAATCCGCTATCACATGCTAAAGCCTTTAAACCCCCCGTGCAATTTCCGCCCCCTTTCCCCCCACGTCCCCACCCGTCCCCCCCCCCAACACCGTCCCTCTCGATAGTTTTTCAGAGTTAAGAGGAAAGCTGTTAACAGCCACTTAAACCTTTCAACTACTTTAAAGAAGGGGGACTTCGGAGTTAAGAGGACACGTTCGAACAACCTTCTTCAACCTGTCAACAACTAAGGGGGGAATACTTCCACAGCGTGGAAATCACCTCTTGACTCGAAACACCAAAGAGAGGGGGCGGGGCGGGGGCGGGGCGGGCACGTGCGTCTGCCTGGTCGATCGCGTCGGGCCTTTTGTGGTTTCGTTGCCCCGCCCCGCGGATTCTCCTAGCGCGCGGAAAAAAAGGGGGGAGGCGCCAGGGCTAATATTGAAACGCCTTCACACCGACCAGGCTGGCGTAACCAAATAGGACTACGGTGGGGGCAAGGGGGAATATCCCAAGCTGTCCGTTTTGGGGGGAGGAGAGGAAGGGGGAAGAGGGGCGGGGAAGGAAATGCCCCCCCGATTTGGGATTTGATCTAAGCCTCTTTCCCCTCCCCACGCCCCCGCCCCCCACCTCAACAAACGAACCGCTCCCGGTTGTTCCCAAAACGTTTTTTGTTGGGGGGGCGCGGGGGGGCTGGGAAAGGGAACTCCCAAAACACAGGGGGGCAATCCGAATCTGGGTTATGACTGCCCCGTGCGCTCTAGGATTTCCCCCCCCCCTTCCCCCCCGTCTCAGCCCCCTTCTCCTCCCCACCCCCCCACATTCCGTTCACGACCGAAACGGACAGCTCCTGGGTTGCTCCCAAAACAAGCTATTTTTCGGGAGGGCGGAGGGGGGGGGGGGGGGCGAACGGGGGCGGGAAAGGGCCAGAACAGGGGGGATACATCCTAAACTGGGGGCGCTGGGGGTGGGTGGGGAACTCCCAAAACGGTGACGGACAATTCCAAAACGGCAATTGTGGACCCCCTCGTTATAATCCCCCCCCATCCGTCCCCACGCCAAACGGACAGCTCCCGAGTTGCTCTCACGTTTTGGGAGGGGGGCAGGTGGGGAGGGGACGGGGAAAAGGGGGGAAGGCGGATAGAGAGAGAAAAAAAGGAAACTAACAAAACCAGAGGTGGAAATCCAAAGCGGGTGGGGGGGCGGAGCTCCCAAGCATGGGGGATGAGTTTCCAAAGCCGCTGTGTTGGAATGTCCCCACCACTGTTTTGAGAGTCCCCCGGCCCAGGTTGCGATGTCCCCCCCCCGCCATGGGACTTCCCGCAGTCCATTTCCCCGCCCAGGCCCCCCCCCACAACAAAACAAAACGCACCGTTTTGGGAGCAGCCCTGGAACGGCCCGCGCGACATGAGAACGCAATGGCAAGGGCAGCGACGGGCGAGGCCGATCCTCCCCCCAAACTGCTCATGGGGGGCACAAAAAAAAACCAAGGAAACACCGAGCGCTCCACCGAAACGTCTCACTGAGTTTTTTCTCGTTCCTCCCAGGCGGGGACGGGGTGCGACGATCGAAAACGAATTTTTTTAACTAAGACGAGGGGGGGCGGGGCGCCCGTGCGACGAGGGAAGGCGACGGGGTGTGTGGCGGTTGGGGGGGCGGGAGCAGATTTTCAATCCCGCGTTACGAACAGCTTGAGGTGGTGGTTGGGGGGAAGCAAAAGGGCCGGGGGGGGGAATTCCAAAACGAGCTTTCAGGGGGACGGAAGGGAGGCAGAGGGCGGGGGGGGGCAAGAGGGAGGGGGCCAGGAGGGGAGAAGGGGGGGGGGCGAGGTCGGGGGGAAGGCCAGGGGACCCCCTCCTGTCATTTGTTGCAAAGCTTTGACGCAGCCCCCCAAGGAACGCTGTTTGAGCCAAGGTGGTTCCAAAGAGTGTTTGTGCGTCCTCCTGCTCCTGATCAGCCTGCGCCGTCGGCGTCGTCGTCGTCATCGTCGACTTGTTCGTCATCGTCGTCTTCTTCCTCCGCGTCGACGCCATTATCCTTCTCGCCCCCGACCTCCAACCTCCCACTGCGCCTCCTCCGCATCATCGCCCCCTACTCTTTTCCTCCGGTTCCTCGTCATGTTCCTCCTCCTCTGTTTCCTCCTCCTCCTCATCATTCTCCTCCTCCTCCTCCTCCGGTGGTTCCTCTTCCTCGCGCGTGGCCGCCGACGCTACGGGTTCCCGTCTATAGCCGACGGGGCGCCCACCGAGCGGCGGGAATGATGAAGCCGACCTTGTCAGCCGGCAGCGGGCGCGCAGGCTCGGCGCGCAAGCGCGAGAAGATAATGGCGGCGGCAGCAAGGGCGCGAAGCGAAGAAGACCAAGACCGAGGCGACCAAGAGGAGAGGTGGACAGGAACGCGCGGACATAAAGATAGAGCACGGCAGCGAGATGTCAATGAATTGCGGGCAATTCCGATAGCGGGTAAAGTCGCCAAGCCCATCAGGGCACCCAAGCACACGCGGAGTACATTATCGACAGCGCCCGTCGGTGGCTCATCCGCCCAACAGCACCTTCAGAACGGCCATGGAGAACGCGACGCAGAAACGAGAAAGCTCAACGCGAAGGGCATCCCGCGGGAGCCCGCGGTCATCCAGAAGCGAGATGGGCCCCGCTTGACCGACCGGGAGGCGAACGCTTCAGAGAGACAGTTCGGACGCAGGTGCTCCGAGATCTTGATCCTCAAACGTCTTTGGACATCAATTTACTGGAGTCCTGGGCCCCAGCGAGTTCTGACTTGAGAGGGGCGATCGCCGCGCGAGCGGCGGCCGAGATGCGGCTGTGAGAGACGGCGGTGGACGCGAGCAGATGAGGGCCGAGGGGGCGGCGGGGGAACGCGGCGCCAACAGCGGCCAGAAAATTGCGGCAGGGCGGGGGCCCGATTGGAGCGGGCGCGCGCTCGATAGGCAATCGGGAGCGGCTCATCGGAGATCGCTCGCAGCTCGGCCATCGTTTCGCGCCGGGGAGGGGGGGCGAAGTCTGCCGGCGCGGGCGATGGCAGTCAGGGAGGTCGCCTGGATGCCAGAGACACGCGGGCGCCCCAACGAGCGAGCTCAAACCGCCAGGCGCGCGGGGTCGCACAGCCCGGGGCACAGGGGGGCCTCGCGAACGCTGCTGGCCCTCGGCGGGCATACTCCAGCGGCAGGGGTAAACGTTGAGCGAAGTATCCTATGACAAAGGCAATTCGGCCTTCATGGTTCTGAGCCGAGACCGAAAATGGGGCCCCCTTGCCAGCCAGTCTCGATCCGCGGCCCTGCCATCTGGCGACGGCGGCCCTCCAGGAGCGGAGGGGCGCCGAAGAGCCAAGCCAGAGGCCCGAGCATGTCAAACCATCAACTCCCCCAAATGAGGCCCACAGGGGCAGGCCGCAGGCAATCCATCTGGAGCGCCCGCGGGCGAGGGCGGGCGAGTAGGACGCGGCCAAGGGCGCGATCTTGCACTTGGAAGTTTTCAGCATGAGGCCCGCGATCCTCTCCGCGATCGCGAATGCGCGGTGGAACACCTTCGGGAATTTCAGCTGGCGGATGGCGGCCTCCGCGTCGTCGGCGCAGGCGCGAGCGAGGCCGGCGTTCAGCCTCGCCATGGCGGCGCCCACGTCTAGGAAGAAGCTGCCCGTTGCTGGCGCGAACAGCCCGCCGCAGGCTGGGCGGCGATGGATGGCCCGCAATCTTGGAAGAACAAGAAGACCGTCGCCGTCGCGAAGGCGCCGAAGCACAGGGCCTCCGCGCGGATGGCCAACGCCAGCGCGCATAGAGGGGCGGGCGCCAGCATCGCGCCCAGCTGCCCAATATTCTAAGCAATACTGGTATTGGAACGTATTAGAACAATACTGACAGTGACGAATCGACAGACGATTCGATGACAATCATGTATTTTACCTCGGTCTTGAGCCAAAGTGGTTACAGTCCACAGTCCTCTCGTGCACCTGCTGCGCCCTGCGCTCGTGCATGCGCGAATGCTCTGCTGACCCGTTCTCGTGCTATAGTACTGCTAGCGGGCTGAAAATCATGCGAATCTCAACTGTGCAACCTGCTGCGTTCGACACTGGTGGCCTCGGGGGCCAGAGAGCGCTGCGCAACCTGTAAGCTGCCAGACGCTCGGCGGCCGAGTCATAGCGACGCATGCGTCGCTACGGGTCGGGGGGATTCGAAAATCTGCTTCTGTGACCCTAGCGGCCTGAGATGAAGACAGGACGCAGCGGCACACCTTACAATGCAGAATAACAAGCTCTAGCAAATGCATTCGCGTTTTTACTGTAAGGCTGAATGTAGTGCATTAGTACGGCATGACACAAGTGAAAGATATCATTTACAGAAGTGAGGGGAACACGCTTGGGGTAAGTTTCACGCCCAACATCCCCCTAGCCTTCATCCTGTGACCGATCAAGCAAGTCGCACGCGCCGGCGTGCCTGGCCTGCTGCCGCTCCGCTCAAAGGGTAAAGCCAGCGGTGCTCCTCGCTGGCCAAGTCCAGCCACGTGCTCTCGTTCGGCGTGTCGGCGAAAACGACCTCCACCCTGCCTGTCGCAGACTGGCTGACGATGTCCGCCTTGACCCACGACGAGCCGCGCATCAGCTCCAGCTGCAAGGACTCGTCCTTGATCGGCACGTCGAGCTCGGCCAGGTCGAAAAGGCGAAGCCGGCTCACGTGCACTGGCTGGCTGAAGCCCAACGTAGTCGAGCCGCTGTCAGGGTCGGCGAGGATCGCCGACTGGGGCCCCGCCATCTTGTGGATCTTGAAAATCTGTGGGCGAAGGCGTGGCAAGGGCCTCGTGCTGGTGCCGTCTACGGCGCCGACTGCACGAGCGACCAGTTGAGGAGGGGCACGAAGGAAGACAACGTCTGCTGCCTGAAATGCCCGCTCGCCTAGCTCTTGCAAAGCCCTGGCGTGCGCCTCCTCGTCGTGCTGCGCCTTGAGCTCGTTCGCCACGGTCTTGTGCGTCGCCTCCAGGTGCTCGACTAAGTCCTTGACGTAGTGCCCGGGGTCCAGCATCTTCCCGGGCTCGAGACGCCTGAAGACCTCTTCGATCGGGCCCTGCGGCAGCATGCCCGTCACGATCTCGAAAGCACTGCGACCTCGCCAGGATCCTGTTCACCTTCTGGTGCCTCGCCTCCACGAAGCCCTGCGACTCCGGATAGTAGGCGGAGCCGAGGCTGTGGGTGACATTCAGGAGCTGGTTGATCTGCGCCACGATCTCGCTGGTGAAAGCCGCACCTCGGTCACTGCGAAGTACTGAAGGAAAACCAGCCAAGTCGAACATCACGTCCTCAAGCAGGAACTTGGCCCAGGTAGCCGCATAATTGCCTGGAGCAGCCTTGAGCCACGCGTAGTGGGAGAACGCGCACTCGGCGTGCAAGATGTAGGAGCAGCCCGCACTCTCAGGCGAGATAGGTCCGAGATCGTCGATGCCCAGAACTCGAAATGGTCGATCGTGAAGCTCCATGCGGGCGTCAGCCGTGAGGCCGCGGGCCGGCTTGACCAACCTGCAGACACTGCATGAACTGACCCACTTCTGGCCATCGTGCTCCATGCCCGGCCAATAGAACTGCTTGCTCAACTTGCTCAAGGTGTCCTCGACGCCGCTGTGCATGCCCATCGACTGGGAGTCGTGGTAGTACAGGAGAAGCTGGCGCCTGAGAGACAGCCGGTACATGCGACCACTGTACCGGAACGCGCGAAGGCCGCCCTTCGGGACCACCACCTTCGGCGCGAAGCTCAATGCGATCGGGCCCCACTCGTCCTTCTAGAGCAGTCCCTCACGATAGCTGTAGCCTCCCATCATCCTCAACGCCACCGAAGCACGTCGCGAAGCCTGGCGTCCTCCGACTCCGCGTGCAGCGAGCTCGGTCTTCAAGCCCTTGTACATCTGCTCGTTCTGGATGCTCTGGTTCGTGTCCTCAAACCGCCGCAGGAGTACATGTGCCGCGTAGATGTCGGAGAAGTCCTCGTCCTGCTGCAGGAGGTTGACGACCTGTGCCCTCTGGATCGATGAAGGACTTGACGGGATCAGCTCAGTCAACTCGTCGAAAGCCCTTGGTACTGGCGGGGCAGCCGCTGGCTCCTCGGCAGACACCTCCGTGTCATCAAACCACACCTCCACCACGAGGTCGCGGCGCTTGTCAAGGCCGCGCTGCAGGTACTTGGTAGTAGTGTCCTGGTCGATATCTATATCCTCCAAGATCTCGCCGGTCCTGGCGTCCCTGGTGCGACGCTTCTTCATGAGCCGCTTGTCGTCTGGAACGATGAACTCCTCGGCGAGCTTAACCTCCACTCGAAGATGCGGCGCCTGCTCGCGACCTTGGGGTACTGGGGCTAGTGCTGGAGGGTCCGACGACGCTGGCGTCGCCCGAGCAGCCCCATGTCGCAGCTGAGTGATTCTTCGGACGCCCTCCGCAACGCACGAGGTAAAGCTCGGCCCTGAAGGGAAGGTGTCGACACTGACCTTCATGGCGTTCCTGTCCAAGCAGTCGCCGGCCTGCTTCGAGCAGTCGTTGTCCAGCCTGCCAGTGGCTTCCAAGACAGTCGCGAAGCCTGCGACAATCCTCTCGCACAGCGCCCTCGGGTACGGAGCTGAACGTCGCGTCGCTGCGCTGGTCAGCATCACCTGGTGCTTGACGTGGTTGCACAACCTCCCGATGTCCTGCAGCGCGTCGGTGTTCCCTGCGAAGATCTGCGGCTTCTGATAAGGCGCGCCGTCCTGGCAGTGATCGCTCCTGGCCACGTGGAAACCGTCGAAGCCCAGAATGCAGGAGCACTCCATCAGGAAGAAAAGGTAACTCGTCAGGGGTTCTCGAACATGACCACCACGCCTCTCTGCATCAACCCCAATGCGAAGATAAAGACAGACTGCGCCAACTTGTTGAAGTACACGACCTCCTCGTCGGTCTCGTCGCCGTACGGGTTGTCCAAGCTGCAGGTCTTGACCGGGGTTGTCTTGGCGATGCTGAAGCTCGCGCACGGGATCGCGAAGTGGTAGACGTCGCAAGGGTCGTCCAGGTGGCCCTGCATCCACTGGCGTGCGTGAGGGCCGTGGAAGTCCATCCGCTCGTCAAGCCGCCTGTCGTAGCGCTCCGCAGATCCCCCAGCTGCCTCCCAAACTCTGGATAGCATCGCATCGGCCTCCTTCTCGGACTCCACGCCGCTGAACACCTCGCACAACCTCTTGCCCTTCAGAGGGCGGTCGCGGAGTTCGGCAGGTAGCACCTCACCTCCGCTCCCGAGAATCTCGTGGCCCTTGCACCTGTAGATCTCGGTGCCGTTGGGTAAGCGCCTCACGAACTCGGCGGCGTGGCAGAACTCCTGAGGCGGCCGCCAAGTGTCGCGCAGCGGCCTCCAGACGGTGCGAGTCAGGAAGTCCGGCCTGCGCGGGTGGACGTGGAACTAGAAGCCCTCGAAAGGATCGCCGTGCCGCCAGAAGAAACCCGTCCCGGACAACGGCCCCGAACCGACAGCGGGCTCCACCTCCACGGACTCGGTGGGACGCGCAAGCACAGCCTCGACATGAGCCCATGATTGGTTATCTGCCTTCTTCAGCCCAGCAAGCGCCTCTTTGGAGCCGTCGGCGACCCCGTTCGGCTTGCGCCTGTGCCAGATGGTCTTCCTGGACACCCCGCCATTGCAGACCTGCGGCGCCCGGTACTGGACGGTGAAATTATCGCCGCGCTCGTCCTTGACATAGGTGATGCGGCAAGGTAGAACTCGCGGGTTTCGTGGGAGTCGAGGATCCTCCTCAGGCCCCGCCGCGGCGGACGAGGCCGCTGGCAGGAATGTCGCCAGGGGGTGACGCGGATAAGACCCGTCCCACGAGTGCGTGTCGACAAAGACAGGGCGAACCTCGAGCGGGTCGCGCTCGGGGCCCACGACGCTGGCCACCAACTTGCAGAGGTTCGCCTCGACCTGGGGGTCGCCCTCCGCGTAGGCGCGCACGGACTGCCGACGGCCGGCGCAAGCTCCCGGCTCAGAGTCAGAGTACTCCAAGTCCGCGCCGTCGGTGCCAATCTGATCGAGTGAGGAAGGCCACGTGACTTGATCATGAGCCACGGCATCCCCCATGTCAACGACGTCTGCAGCTCGATCAGGATGCTCTGGAGCGGTGCCACGCGACATCGGGCCCGCTGTACCGACATACTACTTCGACCTGGTAGAAGAGGAAGTAGAGGGAGCAGCCATCCGTTCTGTGGCTGGGACCGCGTCATCGGTCTCGGCAGGCTTTACCTGGGCGGACTTCGCCTCCTGGGTCTCGTCGTCGACCTTGCCGGACTTCGGCTTGACTGGGGCGCCATCCATCTCCTCGAGAAACCCATCCATCTGCGCCTGCTCCTCTGCGCTCGTGGGCGCCGTGAACATCTGTTCTATGACTCGACGAACAGGTCCACCAGGAACTCGGAGAGTATGCAATATGTCCCTGTCCTCGGGGTTGCGACTAAGAGCGTCGCCCAGAACGTTGTCTTCACCTCGCAGCCGAACTCGAACGACCCGCGAGCCCAAGTCCTCCAGGTCGAGGGCCCAGCGCAACAGCTTCTAGGAGATACGCCTGTTGGCGAACAGCGAGTCGGTGAAGATATTATTCCGATGGTCCCTGTCGACTATTACAACGAACCCTTTTGTCAAATGATGGGTGGCAGACAGAGCCTCCCTGAGGCCACAGAGCTCTCGCTTGAACGTGCTCCAGCCCTGCTCGGTGGCGTTGAAGCCGCGGCCGACTACGGCCACTGGGCGCAAGGGACCGTCCATCTCGCGCCGCTGAGCTAGGGTAGCCGCCCATGCGATGTTCGAGGCGTCGACGTACAGCTCGATGGGGCGACCGGAACTCGGGTCGGCTGCCGCGGAGTAATTCACTTGGCAAGACCCACCTCACGGGCGAGCGAGTGCTTGAGCACGTTGAAAGCCTTCTGTGCCTCTGCGTCCTTCTGGTAGTCCACGAACTTAGCCCCTCTCTGCATAAACTTCTTGGGCGGCGTCTCTAACGAGCTGAAGTTCGGGATGAACTCGCGCACGAAGTTGCAGTAAGCCCTGAAGCTGACCAGATCGTCGATGCTTTTGGGCTCCGGCCACTTCTCGATATTCTCAGCATTGCCTGGGTCCACGTAGCGCAGGCCACGCCCAAGCTTGAAACCCAAGAGATGGATGAACTCGTGCGCGAACTTGGACTTCGCGAGTTTGAACTGAATGTTCCTGCCCTTGGCCGCCTACAAGAAACGAATGCAATGGTCGATGCGGCGGTCCACCACGTCGTCGTCGGCGTCGTGCTCGTACGCCTCGGTAAACAAGGTGCAGTCGTCCATGAACACCGAGTGGAACTCCTCGTCGTCCTTGCCGCGAAGGTCCCCGAACGTCCAGTCCATCAGCTTCTGGAAAATCGCGGGCCCCTGCTTGGCGCCGAAGAACAAAACCAATGGTCGGAGCATTCCGCGTTTGGTAAGCAACGCAAAAGCCGTCTGCGCCTCGGGGGCAAGCTCGATCTGCGTGAAGCCCCAGATGCAGTCCAGCTTCGTATGTAGAGCTCCTTGTTGAGCTCGTGCGAGGCACTCGTCGGCGCGCGAGCTCGGCCACGCCTCCTCCTCCTCGGTGCAGCTGTTGGGGTATCGGTAGTCCCTGACAGGGCGCCCGAGAAGACCCTTGCTGTCTTGGTCCACTACGAACGAAGGAGACCCCCACTCTGAACGCTCACCTGGAAGTAGCCAACGTGCCTTGCCCTCCTGGACCTCGACGCCCTCGTGGTAGCGCAAACGGAGCTCGTCGAACTTGCTGAGGGGGAACGGCTGCGTGACCTTCGGCACCGTATCTGGCCTGACCTTGGTGCTGGCCACGAAGTCTTTGACCCTCGGCGGGCTGCAGCCCGGCAGCCACAGACAGCACGTAAATGCACGCGCGACCTTGGTGAGGAAGCGGCGCTTCTGCTTCCCCGTGAGCTGCGGCCCCAGGAGAGGGCCTGCCTGCCTCTCAGCCTCGTCCTTGTAGGCCTCGGCCTCCTGGTTCGGCCAGCTGACCTCCGACGCGCGCTTCTTCTTGTCCTCCTCGATCTCTTTCACCAGGTTGGGGAAGAGGACCTCATGGCGCTCCTTCTTGCCACGAGTCTTGTAGGACGTCTTCAGCATCTGGGCCTCTGTCGCAGTACTTGCCGACGTAGCAGCATTGGCAGTTGTCTCGGCCTCTGAGTCGCAGTAGGCCTCGCTTTGAGCCTGCCACAGTGAGTAAACCTCCGCCGCCCGTCTGGACTCCTCCCTGCAGAGGGCGCTGGGGACGTCCAAGTCGCGCTGGGTGGCATCACGGGCGCGAAGTAGTCGTTGACCAGGGCCCAGATGCACGCGATCGTGCAGGATCAGGTCCACTTTGTAAGTGCCGCTCTGGACTATCAGCGGCCCCTCGATGACCTGGCAATGCTCGGGTAAATCAAGACCTGGCTCGATCCAAAGGCTGCTCGAGCGAGCCTCCGGCGGCGCGCGCATCGAGATCGTCTTCACTTTGCTCTGGCCAGGCGGCGCCTCCACGACAATGTGGTCCGAGCACCGCAGGAAGGTATGCGTATTCGGATCGTCCTGCTCGCCTGGCAGCACGGTCGGGGAGCGAACCCCGAGCGACCTGAGCTCGATGGAGTCACGGTCGGAGACGAACCCGCACCTGTCCAAGGATGGCTTCCCGATGAGCAAGTCCTCGGTGCAATTCGGCACGACAAGGAACCCCATGCTGACCGTCTCGCAGGCGACAGCACCGTTCTCACGAAAAGAAACCTTCAATGTAGCGAGTCGGTTCACCACAACCGTCTGGCCGCGCTCGAAAGAGCGGCAGGTGATTGGCTCGAAGGCCTCCACGTCCCCGACGAAGTTGGACGTCCGGGGCTCCTCGAGCAGTGCCTTCAGGAAGTCGCGGTCTATGGAATTGCGAGTAACTCCGGTATCGAAGACTGTTTCAGTTCTCGCTTCCCCCATCCACGTGAAGGCTCGACAAGTGTATCCACCCGACACCTGCAAGACCAGATGCTTGGCGCCACCGCTTGAAAGATGACCGACCTTGCGAACGAGCACGTTGTTCGCCGCTGCTGCAATCAGCGGAGAGGTCGACTTGGCAACTCGGCTCTCGATGCCGCAAGCGATGACCCCGATCACCATCATGAGGGCTGCGAACCCAAGGAGAATCATGACGGCCTTCCCCGTGAAATAGCGCACCTGAGACAAAGTACGCCAAAGCCAGCTGCGCGGGCGAGCTGGGCCCCACAAGTCCGAGACGAAGGTCTCGCTCGAATTAAGGTTCATATCAGACAGCTTCTTGGACTTGGCCTCGCCCCCGTTGCCGTCGATGTCGTTGTCGGTCTCCATCGTCATCAATGACGCCAGGAGCCTCGCGGCACGGTCCGTCCGCTCTTGTTCGTCAGTGGCGTGCGAGCCCTCGAACGTGAGCAAGCGGGTATTGCCGCCTCTGCCCTTGGACTTCGCTTTGCCACCGCCCTGCTCGCCACCTCTACCTCATCCTTTGCCACCACCCTTGCCGGCCTTCTGCTTGAGGTACTCCTCCGCCTCCTTGGCGCCCTTCTCGGTGTAGCAGAGGGCGTGGTGGCGACTGAGGTGACCCATGCCTCCGCAAGCCAGGCCCTTGTTCAAATGCTTGTACCAGCATGGGATGGCGTCCTTCACCGCCTTGGTCTGACGTCCCAGCCATGCTCCTCGCTGGCTTTCTGATTCGGGCAGACCGAGCACTCGGGGTGCGTGCCCTTGCAACGCGGGCAATCGCCTGCGCCGGCCCGCGGCGCGGCCTCGGCCTTCGACCTGCCCTTGTCTGGCCCGCGGGCCGCCCTCCACCGGCTGTCCAGCTGCTGCGCCGTCGGAGTCGGCGGGGGCGGGAAACCTGACGATGCCGCCGAAGCACCTTGCAGGCTCTCGATGATCTGCTTGGCCTTCGCCACCTTCGCCTCCTCCTGCTTCTTGGCCTCCTTCTTGGCCGCGGCCGACTGCTTCGCGTTCGGCTCGATCGAAGTGTTCAGCAGCTGCCCGGGTTTCGTCTCGGACGACTGGAGCCCCGCTCGAGCTCGTGCCCTGACGCACTGGCGGCACCGGCCCAGGATGGTCATGCTGCTGTCCTCGCCCTCGCGGATGGCCATGCGCCTCGGGAAGGTAGGGAGGTCCATCAAGTAGATCAACAGAGCGCTGCCTTCGATCTTCGTCTCGAACTCTTCGATCTCCCTCATCAACATCGGGCTCCCCGCGTCATCGGTCAGGAGGCCGTGCTTCAGCATGTCGGTCCTGACGCCCGTGTACAAGTTCAAGAACTTGGCAACGCCCTCCGAGTTCGCGTCCTTGGGCAAGGACAACCTGCTGTAGCGCCGGACCGCCTCGTTGGACTCGTGTTCGTCGTCGGGGTGGACGGTCCGCTTCAGCCTGCGCTCGTAGCGAAACCAGTAGAGATCCCATCGCGGATCGCCCCGAGCACGAACCAGCTTCTGGAAAGCCTCCTCGCCACCCATCTCGGTAACGATCATGTCTTCGAGCTCGATCTTCGCGGTGTCCTCAGCGATGGCCCTCGCGCCCTCGAACCAGATCGCCTTGCTGTTCTGGCGCGCTTCGTTCTGGTAGGTGCGGAACTTCTCAAGCTCGACTTTCAAGGTGCTCGCATCCTTGCCCGTGAGCGAAGGCTTCGCTGGCTTCAGTTTCGACTGGGATTCGCGCTGCGCCTCGGCCAAGCTCTCCTAGGCGCGCGTAAACCCCTTCAGCAGCGCGCTCTGCTCCTCGGCCCCAGCGCTGCTGGTCGGCCATCTGGCGCATGAGCTCCATCATGGCTGCGGCGATGCCAGCGTCCTGGGACGATGCACCCGGCGTTGCCGCCGACTGCCTCGGGAGTCCTGGTGGGACCGCAGGTCCTGGATCGACTGGTCCAGTCCGACTGCCGAAATCCATGTCGTCCTGCTGCTCCCAATGGCCTTCGGCGTACTCATGCTCATGCGGTCCTGGAGCTTGGATGTCCATCAGCTCCTGGGCCGCCCTCGCCAAGGCGACCTTCTCGTCCTTCAGCTCGCGGGACTCGGCGCGCAACTCGTCGACCTCGTGCTCGTAATATTCCTTCTCGGTGTTGTGCAAAGCCTGGCTTGCGTAGAAATTTGCCCTGGCCGAATCTGCGCCTCGCTTGTGTTCCCGCTCCTCGTGCTGAGCTGATTCGACCTTCATGTCGCACTCGGCCCACGCAGCCGCGATCTGCCTGGACGCCTCGGCCTCCACCACCTCGCACTTCATGGCCGCGTCGTTGAGCTCCCCGCGCAGCTGGTCGTCCGACGACTGGGCACGTGTAGTCAGCCGCCGACGCGCCAACTGCGCGATCTCGGACTCCTCCTGCAACTTGAAATTCAGGTCGCTCGCCTCCGCCTTGAGACGCTCGAAGTCCTGGTCCTTTGCGATGCCTCTCTGCTGCACCTTCGCCTCGGCGCTCTGGACCTGCTCGGTCGCCTCGGTCCACTCGGCCTGAAGCGTGTCTCGCGCCCTCTTGATCGCTCCGACTTCAGACCGCAGCTCGTTCTCAGCACGACCAGTGACCAAGACGTGATTGGCCTCGGCATCCAAGACCCGCATCTCGGCATTGTGGACATCCCTGGACCGCACCATCGCAGCGTCGCGCTCCTCGACGCACTGCTGCAACTCTTGCTGGATGTGGGCGGTAGCGGCATGCCGAGCACGACGGATCTGCTGCTCGTACTCGCGCTTCTCGTGGTTCAAGTACTGCTTGGCCTCGTCGTACTCGACCCTGAGGTCGTCACTCGCCGTCTCGAGCTCTGCCTCAGTGACCCTCAAGCGCATACCTACGGTCTCCAACTCGTGCCTGCCCTGCTGGAGGTCAGCGATGCCGGCCACATAGGTGCTGATCTGCTGCTGGAGCTCCACGGCGTTGCGGCGCTCGACGCCGACCTGCACGATTCGGCGCTCCCCGGTCTGGATCTCGGCGAAACACCACCTCTCTGCTGGCTCGCCACCGAAGACCGGCGGCGCTGCCAGCCCAGCGCCTCCCTCGCCTAGACGCCTGGCCAGCGGGTCACGCGAGGCTGGACCACCCTGAGCCGCGACGGCCAGGCTGGCGACGTCCATCGGCCGCCCGGGACTTGGCAGGGCCAGCCGCGCCGGCGAGCCCGCTCGGCACGGCTCCCGGCGCCTGGACGCCGATCCCGCTCGCGCAGGCCCTGATCCCGCTGCTCCGGCAGAGGCGTTCCCGTCTGGATCCGTTCCTCTGGAGAGCATCTCGACTGATGAAATGCTCTCCAGTGTGTGCACCAAATTTGCCAAATATTCTAAACAATACTGGTATGGGAAGGTATTAGAACAATACTGACAGTGACGAATCGACAGACGACTCGATGATAATAATGTATTTTACCTCGGTCTTGAGCCAAAGTGGTTACAGTCCACGGTCCCCTCGTGCACCTGCTGCGCCCTGCGCTCGTGCATGCGCAAATGCTCTGCTGACCCGTTCTCGTGCAATACTGCTAGCGGGCTGAAAATCATGCGAATCTCAACTGTGCAACCTGCTGCGTTCGACATTGCTGGCCTCGGGACCCAGAGAGCGCTGCGCAACCTGTAAGCTGCCAGACGCTCGGCGGCCGAGTCATAGCGACGCATGCGTCGCTATGGGTCGGGGGGATTCGAAAATCTGCTTCTGTGACCCTAGCGGCCTGAGATGAAGACAGGACGCAGCGGCACACCTTACAGTGCAGAATAGCAAGCTCTAGCAGATACAAGCGCGCTTTTACTGCAAGGCTGAATGTGGTGCATTAGTACGGAATGACACAGGTGAAGGATATCATTTACAGAAGTGATGGGAACACGCTTGGGGTCACGCCCACAGCACGCGGCGCAGCCATTGGTGACTGAGGCTGGGAAAGGCCCGGCCAAAGTCAAGGCTGGTCATAGCTGGGAGACCAAGCAGAGCCGAGGGCGACATCGAATCTATACACAATACTGCGTCAAGCTCAGCAATCTTGTTCTCATAATTTCTAGCACTGGTGAAGAATATCTGTGCTGTGGCGGCGAAGGTCGGCATGGGCGCGCTAATCTGCCGGAAAGAGACAGCGACTATGATTTGGTGGTCGGCGTTTTTCAAGCCTGAAGGGCGGGGCCCCGACTCCACGCGCGCGCGCGTGTTCTGGAAATCCCCCGCCTCGTCTCCTTTGGGGATCAATGTCACGGGCGCAGAGTTGGGGCTCCTATTCACGGGGCGCCCGTTGAAGATCCAAGAGGGGGCCTCGAAGAGCACCCGAGGGGGGGGGGGGGGGCGCCGCGCATATACGCGCCATAAGTAACATAATCAAGACCAGAGGCCAAATCTCCCAGCCGAGAGTCAGATTTCTCCACGCCACGACCGCGTGGAGAAGGGGCGTCGCGCAAGTCCACTCGGGGACCCCAGCGCGCAAGGCGCATTTTTCACGCGTCCGCATCGAAAGTCTTCCCCTGGAAAACATGCGCCCATTGGGTAGCAATAGCGTTCTGCATCTCAAAGTGACAGGGCAAGACTCAGCTGCCTGAGCGAGCCCCAATGAAAGAAACTGAAGGCGCCGATCACATGGTGCCCAGAGCCTGCCGCGACGGATAAGTCGTCGCATCTTCTGTCTGAACTTCGAGCGCGAGGATTCCGACTTCGCGGCGCTCGGCCAGACCAACGCCAGTCGCTGCTCACGTTCGGCGCCCTGGAACTGAGTGCCCGGCGTCGCTGGGGACATCTGGGGGTCTTCCAAGGGCGCGCGCGCCGTTTCGGGGCCCGCGTCGAGGGTCGCCAGGGTCGCGTCGAAGAAGCGATTTGGCTGCGGGGTCTTGGGGGGCCTCCAAGAAGGGCGTATACCGGGCCTGCCGGGCGCCCTCTTTCAAAACCTCATTGCAAAAAAAAAGCCTGGGGCGGGTTCATCTCCGAAGTCGCTCTCGCCCCAGGCCTGCTGGGCAAACTTCTTAACTTCTTTAAGCGCGGGCGCTGAGAGACAACTGCCCGGCGATCGGGCGCGCGTCCTCTTCGGGGGGCCCACGATGTCGGAGGCGCGCGACCAGTGCTTCAAGTGTTTCGGAGAACTCGCGAATGTCAACGTCAACCTGGGGACGAGTCAGAAAATGACATGCGGGCCAGCGAATGTCCGATCAACTTTCGAAGTATGTTGCTCCGCCCCATTTCAATGAGTAGGCTCGATGCTGTCAATCTCCACAAGCACTGACATCACCCCCTGCCGAGCAGACGCTCTCTGACGCCGCCACTCGTGGAAGGCAGCGCGGGGGTCGAGGCGGGCGGGCGGCGCGCACGTCTGCGGGGGCCCCGCGCCGAAGTTGAAATCGCCAGCGAGCGCGAGGATGCGCCCATCTGGGGCTGGGCGGGAGAAGATCATGCTTGATGCGGCCCATCGCGTTCGTCGTCGCCTCATCCGCGAGGCCGCGACTATGGACGTTGAAATGTGACGAGATGAAATAGGGGGAGTCGGGCTCGGCAGAGATCGGCACAATATTCCGGAGGCAGTGCAATACCCCCCCAAAGATCACAATCTCGGACTCGCGCTTGGCCTGCGCATGGGGCCCGTTCTCTGGAGTCAGAGCATGGTAAGTCGCAACAACGTCACCTCGCCCTCTCGAATCTGCGAAGGGCGCCTGCCCCGAAAAGAACTTGCGAGAATAGAAAACCGGAGAGGTCATGGATACCTCTGTGTGTTTCTTGCAACGCAGTGATATCATTATGCTGTTTTCCCCTCCACCCGTGAGGCTTTGTGCGCGCGCCGCCGCGCCGCGCGCGCCGGGCCGCAGGCCTTGGTCACAGCAACTGCTGGGCCAACGCGGGGAGAGGCCCCAAGCCTCCACCGCGCTCCTGTGAGCAGCGGCCGCCCGCGCGAGCCTGGAAAGCCTTCAAAAGAGCCCCCCACGCACACCAATGCGAGAGAGCAGGCGCTCCTGCCGCACCGTGCCTTGAGAGGCACGGGCCACTCGCTAAGAAGGACATTAAGATGTCCGTCGACCGCGCTGCTGCGAGAGAGCAGGTAATCCTGCCGCACCGCACCTTAGGATGTGCAGGCCACTCGCAGGAACCGCCAATGCAGTCTGCTGCAGTCCGTGCCGCGCCACCCATGGGGGGCACCGATTGCCTCTCCATTGCCACGGCCTCAAGAGACCACGACCTCTAGGAGGAGGGGAGGGAGGTGGACCCATAAATCCTGCATGCAATCACAATCGCTATCATGATGCGCATGGCTGCGCCGCCTCCCCGCTGCGGGGAACAAAGCATAACATCCGGATCAATATCCGTCTTCATGTGCTGTTTTCCCCTCCACCCGCGAGGCTTTGCGCGTGCGCCGCCGCGCCGCGCGCGCCGGGCCGCGGGCCTTGGTCACAGCAACTGCTGGGCCAATGCGGGGAGAGGCCCCAAGCCTCCACCGCGCTCCTGCGAGCAGCGGCCGCCCGCGTGAGCCTGGAAAGCCCTCAAAAGAGCCTCCCGCGCACACAACCACCTCCCCCTGCCTTCAAAAGAGCGGGCGGCCATCCGCCGAGGGGCCCTTAAGAAGACTCGTGCTCTACTGAGCAACCGGCAATGCGGCACAGCCACACCCAAGGACCCCCTACGGAGGGTGGAGTAGGGAGGGCAAGCACCGGAGGGCACGTTGAAGCCGCTCTTGGCCACGCTCCGGCAGAGACCACGATCCGACATCAACCATTGCTTGGTCGATGTGCCCCCGGGCTGGCTTCAAGGACCCCCATCGGCCGAGAGCCTGGGTGGCATCATAGTTCCCATAAGTTGCGAAATGCCGCGCTGCACCTCCGCGTCTGAGGCAATGAGGCGTGAGATTGGGGCTCTGTAGCCCAAAAAACTTGGCGGGGTCGACAATTTGCTGCTTGAGGGCTGCGAAGCCACCTGGGAAAAGAGCGTCGAAGTCACCGAGAGGGCCCAAAACTTGAATTAGAAACTGGATCAACAACGGGTCATACAACGCGACGCGCCCCATCTGCCCATGCCGTTTCGCCCCTTTGCTGTCAGGGAGCGTTAGGAGCACAGCGGCGCCCCCACCTAGAACGGCGAACTGCCGCTTGACGATGGCGACGACCTCGCCTGACCGGAGCAAGCATGCGAAGCCGATCAGCAAGGCGGCCGCTGTGCGATCCCAGCCCCGGAGTAGCGCTACTGCAGCCATACCTTGGACTAAATCTTTGGACAACGGTAGCGCACGGCGACGACGGGACGACCGAGTCCAGTTGGACATGTAAAGTATAGCTGTGTCGAGCTTTCGCCTCGAACGTGGGTAGAGGCGCTTGAACCCACACACCACATCGTTGCCCCAGGACTGCGGCAGGTCGTCCTGATACAGGTAGTCGATGTATTCCCCAAGGACATCATCTAGCTCGTCAAAACTGTTTGGCATACTAATTTCACACGAGGTCAGATAGTAGAAGAAACGGTTAACGGCACGGCGGTAACGAATGACAGTGGGCGGCTGGATATTGACGTACTTAATATGTGCTTTGCGTGGACCTGGAGCGGCTCGCCTGCTACCCGGCATCGCTGGCAAGCGGGGCACCCTCCAGCAGCCTACTGGCTGCGTCCGACGCGTTCCATCCACTGATGGTCCACAAGCACAATACGTACAAATCAGCTGCCAAAGTCACCGCCGCGAACCGCCGAAGGGGCCGGTTGAGCACCTTCGCGCTCGAACGACCCTTTGCCGTCACGCAAGATGCCACGCGGGAATCGACTACATGAAAAAACCGTTCTCCATGCCGGTCCGGGTTGCCCACGCGCGCCCGGACGTAAGTAAGGAATGCAATGAATTCGAGGACGTTGATGTGATGGGCATTTCTCCAAGCATACCGCTGTACCACCTCTCATTTCCATATCGGAGCTGGGTATGGCACCTGCTGCCAGGACCCTTCAACGAGAGCCTGAGTCAGCAGACGCACGTCCGAGCCACGATAGTCGGCTTGCGCGAGTAGGCTCTGGAGATGGTCCCGTTCCTGGCCTTGCCCTATACTTTCCAACATCCGCTCTAACGCCAAAATGGCTTCGGAGTGCGCGGCGCCTGCGCGCAACCGGTCTGCGCTAGCCGCCAAGCAGCGGGCGACCCACGACGCTCGCCCGCTTGGCTGCGGGGGAAGCGCGGCCAAGTTGAGCTCGCGGAGCGCTTCCAGAACAGCTCTGGCGCACGCCTTACACAAGTCGTTGGGGTAGATGACCTCCTTCTCCTCCTCCTCATGATCGTCGCACTTCGCGACGCTGCGTGCCCCTCGGGCCACCAAGGCATGCCCGCGGCAAAGGTCCATGTCTAGGCTACGGTGCAACGCGCTGCGATTGCGTAGGGGTCCTAGACCTAAGTGGCGCGATCCCCCGAAGCAGCACGGCCATACCTTCGTGAAGAATATGTCCTCGGACTGCTGCATGGCGACGGCGGCAGGCAGCTCCCAGCCAGCGCCGCTGATAGGGCGCATCGCGACCGCCACCCCCCTGTGGAGGACGCGATACTGGAGACGTTCCAAAGCAAAAGCGAACTCGGCGTTACGACGCCTCGTCCTCTGCTGCTGGCGCCCCGGCTGCCAAGGCCGGCACTCCCCCTGGCGGCCCGCCGAGGACCCGGGCACGAACCAATGTTCGAACCCAATGTCCTCGCGCTTCAGTATGTGCGCCCGCTGCTCTGTCATGCGGCAGTCGGGCAATCTTCCCACCTTCGCCCGCCGAGTGGGCTCCGAAACGGGCACCCCGTGCACCGCGCAAGCCCATGAGAACGGCGCGCTGGGTCCCGAGCGCCCCTCCACGAAGTGGACATGAAAGGTCCCTGTCCCCAGGCATGCTCCAGCGCGGTGGGCGCGCAGGCAGCCAAGGGGGCAGAACGCCCCCGCGCAGCCGAGCGGGCAGGGCGCCCACTCCCCGCGCTCGGGCGCACATGCGCCGCACGAGGAGCACGAGACAGGCACCGCAGGCGGGTGCAATATTGGCTCCTCCGCTAGCGCCGCAGACCACGCCTCCTGCCGCTCCGCCTGCCCCGACGCCAGGGAGCAGACAAAACTGGTAGCTTCTGCAGCGCCGCCGCCGCTCTCCGAGGCGTCGGACGTGCTCACGACCTTCGACATGCTCGCGCGGAGCTTCATGAAGGCTAGTGGGAGGAGGGCACCGCCAAGAAGCACCTCGTCAATGACATTATCAGGCGGGATCCGCAAGGCCTCACTAGGCCCGAAACTGTTGAAAGGGAATATGCCCTGCAGCACTGAAAAGAGCGGCCTGCGGAAGCCCGCGGCGAAGCAGAAGAGCCCCGACCAGTGCTGAGCCTCGCCGGCGGACCACGCGGGCTCCCCCAGAAGGACGAACGATTTCATGCGCAGCTTCAGCGACTTGTCCCTGCTGCGCAATAGACGCCCGCGGAAGCTGTCGATCTCCCCGCCGAGGATGCCCGCCCTCAGCCCACGGGCGAGCGATTTTCCGGCATTGAGGGGGGCCCCCTGCGCAGCGCAGACCGCCACGAAGCGATCCATTGCCCCGGAGCGGCTACCTCCTGTAGGGGCCTCCGAAAGTTCGTCCAGCAGGACCTTCACTTTCGATATGTGGTCGTAGCCGTCCATGCACACGATGGCGATATCCTCCGAGGGCATCGCCCTGTCCTTTCGCAGTTCGCAGAGCGGCGGAACTCCAGCGGCATGGAAGACCAGCCTCCGCGCCATGCATTGCATGACGTCGACGGCGCCGACCCAGCCCATCGGCACAGCCCGCATTCCCACGTAAGTCATCACATGTGGGTCGCCACCGAAAGCGCTCAACGGCACTTGCTTCTCGAACGCAAACATGCCCAGCCACTCGTTCGGCATGTAAGACACGTTGAAGCACGACTCCATGTCTTCAGAATCTACCCAAAAGACCTCGTCCTCCTCCAGGACCGCCAACCCTAGCTGGCCAATATACGGAAGGAGGCCACTGCCCCCCCGGAGTCGCCAGAGGAAAGCGTTGGTGGGCACGAAGATGCATATGAAGCGCAGCAGCTCGACCCTGACGCCGTTCACGTGCTTGATCTTGTCCACCCCATCGCCCCGTTCAGCACCAGGTCGCCGCGGGCGTCGCGGAAGATGCTGTCCGCGCCTGCGGGCGCAACCAGCCCGCGATCGCTGCCCGCGCGCGCCAAGCTGAACCACTCATCGTCCGCCGCGTGGACCCGCGAGCGCGGGGTGACAGCAGGCCACTCGGACTGGGGTAGGAGGCGCCGGGCCGGACTCATCAGGCCCCCCCAGAGCTCCTCCGAGACGTAATCAATGATTGGCAGGATGCACGCCTTGCCCGGGGCCGGCCACGCGGGCGCGACTTTGCTGCAGATGAGCTCGCGCCGCGTCGAAACGACCTCGCCAGCGTAACCGACCCTTTTGTTGCGCGGCTCTTCGCGGACCTCTGGCGCGCTGAACGGTATGGCCGGGGCCGCCCAGAGATCCGAAACGTGAGAGAGGGTGCGGCGGTGCGCGTCGCTCAGACTAGCGGCCATGCCCAAACATACCGGCACTGGCGCCCACCCGGCGCAAGCGAGGAAATTCAGGGCGTGCAGCGTGGCTCTGGCGAGCAAGAGCGGCCCGCAGGTATCATCACCTTCCGTGCTACGTGGCCCCGCTGGGCCATTTCTCCAGTGCCCCTCGGCGAGGTCTAAGTTGATTGGCAAGAGCTCTGGCCGCCTATGCCCCAGCGGTGGGGGAGCTGCGTCGGCGGAGCGTGGCGATGAGAACTGTGACGGATGCGCCTCTTTCGACTACGGCTCTGCCCCAAACTCTGCACTGTCCGTGGAGGCGCGCAGTCGCGCCCAAAACTTCCCCAAACGGGATGGGCCATTCAAAACTGCCAGCGCTAAGGCTGATAGCACTTCATGGGAATCGCTGCAGCGGCCGGCCGCGCGTCGCAGAGCGGCTTGCCACTCAGTGAGGCTCTGGGCGGAATCCAGGCCCGTCGCCAGACATGGCCGGCATGCCGGCGCACGCCCGGACAAGTGCGCCACGCTGGCACCCGCCCGGCTGTGGGTGGACGCCGGCGCGTCGCGCGCTTGCTGTCCTACTCGTGCTTCGTCTTCTTGTGCTTCCCTTCCTTCCCCATGCCTTTGTGCTGTTGTCCGTGCTTGTCCTTGCCCCCCTTGCCCAGGTTGCTGGCGCTGCCGGAGGTGCTGCCTGAGCTCGGCCAGTCGTTGTTGAAGATGGCCCCTTTGCCCCGGCCCTTGAGCTTCCGCTGCATCGCCAGCTCCTGCGTGATCATGAACTCCTCCCCCATGGTCGTCAGGGGCGTGTCGTCCTTCTCCACCAGCTCCAAGAACTGGGCCCGATCCCAGTTGCCATCCCGGCTGGCCATGTCCACCGCCTTCAGCCGCATCGTCGCGATGTCCGCCGAGAACGCGGTCCGGCCCTGCGCGAGGTGGCCGAGGACCGCGCAAAGCGTGGCCATCTCCCGATTGTTGCGCATTCCCGCGCCCGTGAGCTGCAGGAGGACGCGCAGGTAGTAGGCCTTGGCGGCAGCTGGAGTCTGGTACCTGCCCCAGGCGCGCGCCTCCCCCTCCCTGCCCACCTTGTCCGCCATCATCTGGAGGGACCTGCTGGACAGCAGACCTGGGTGCCTCCGCGCCCAGGTGACGAGCCGCGCCTGGGAGTCGCGACTCTTGGAGGAGAAGGCGTCGCGACAAGACGACGACGACGACGAGGAGCTGCGAGCACGCCGCGACCTGGACCTCGCGCGCCTGCCCCTGCCAGGCGAGGCAGACCGCCGGTGGTCGCGGTGGCGGTGGCGGCACTCCTTGCGACCCTGCGCCGCCGCCGTAGCTGCAGCAGACGTCGCGAAGGGAGCAGTGCGACCACGAGGAGCTTCGAGCCGCGCCGTCTCGCGGCCCGCCTCGTGGCAATGGCGGCCCGCAGCGTGATCCCGATCGTCGCAACGGCGCCCCCCGCCGCGATCCTCGTCGCAACGGCAGCCCGCGTCGTCCTCCCGGTCGTCGCAACGCCGGCGCGCGTCGGGATCCTGGTCGTCGCAACGGCGCCCCCCGCCGCGATCCTCGTCGTAACGGCAGCCCGCGTCGTCCACCCGGTCGTCGCAACGCCGGCGCGCGTCGCGATCACGGTCGTCGCAACGGCGGCCCGCGTCGAGACCCCCCGTCGGACGACGGCCCCGGGAACGCTGGCGCCGAGGAGGCTCTTGCCTCTCTTCGTCACGGCCTTCTGGCGCAGGAGCATCACCTCGCCCCACGCTGGCCGCGAGGCGCTCCAGGTCGCCTTTCACGCCCCCCGTCGGCGTGCGGGTTCCGTCGACAAGAACAGGACGAGCAGCGTCTCCGCGATCACGATCTCGTCCATCCCGGTCTCCAGGATCGCCCGCGGCCGCTCCGGCGTCCCCCAGCGCGGCCGGAGGGCGGCCAATCTCTCCCAGGATCTCCTTGCGCCGCGCCTCCGAAAGCCAACCAACGACGCCGAGGTCCGCCACGAGCCCGTTGCCGTTCAGGACGCGCCAGGTGTAGTACACTAGAGTGACCTCGCGCCCACGGAAGACCACCTCGTCGTCGTCGCCCTTGCCCGCCGTCGCCCGGAACAGGGCCGGGTTCTCCGCTTTGTTGCTGTTGAACACCCACCAGTGGTAGTACGTGTCCTCCACGTCGAGAATGCGGGCCTCGAAAAGCAGAGATCGAGGCCCATGCCCAGTGACCTCGATGACGCCCGTCCCGCAAGACTCCCCGAATTGTTCGTGCCAAAGCTCGATTTCTACGATGTCCCCGACCGTCCACACAGCGCGCGCCGCGTAGAGCGCGTCGATGTTTGGCCCAGTCCATGGGCCCACGGCTGCATGCGCCATGACGCGACCCCGCGCTAGGAGTTCCACCCCCAAGAGGATGGCCACCGGCACGCCCGCCAGCAGGGAACCTAGCGCGAGGGGAAAGGGTTTATAGAAGTGAAAGTGGGTGAAGAGGAAGCCGAAACAAAAGGCTGTGCTTCAAGCTTGACCCATAAATCCTTGAGCCAATCACAATCGCTATCATGATGCGCATGGCTGTGCCGCCTCCCCGCTGCGGGGAACAAAGCATAACATCCGGATCAACATCCGTCTTCATAGGACGAGGAAGAGCGGGGGCGAAGGGGAGCTCGGACGAGCGGATGGCGGGGCCGCGATGGAAGATGGCACGAGCTTTCCAAGTCCAGCGCGTCGAAAACCTGGCCTCGAGCTGCGCCCCGCCGGGGGCGCGAAAGATGCTGCTAAAAACTCCAGCTGGCATTGTTGGGCCTCTTGGAGGGCTCTTGGGCTGTGCGCTGGCCGTGTTGGGCCCATCTGGGGCCGCGCTGGGGCCATCATGGCCGTCTTGGAGCGCCCTGGGGCCTCCCGCCCCCGCTCTGGGGCTCAGCTTGGGCCTGTCTTGGGGCTCTCTCGGGCCGTCTGAGGCTCGTCCTGGGCAATTTTCGAACTCCCTGGGGCAATCTTGGGGCTCTGTTTGGGGCCTTTTCGGCGGTCTTGGAGCGGTCTTGGGAGCGTCGTCGGCTGTCGCGGGGCGTCGGAAGGTCGAAAACGCGAAACACCGAAACGTAGCAAACGATTGCCTCTTCGGGCTCTATCGGGGCGACTTTCGGAGCTCCCTTGGGCCCTCTTGGACGCCTTTTGGACCGTGTGTTTGCCGTCTTGAGCTCCTCTTGGGCCACGTTGGAATCATCTCGGCCGTCCTGGAGCGCCCTGGGGCTTCCCGCTCCCGCTCTGTGGCCCAGCTTGGGCCTGTCCTGAAGCTTTTTTGGGCAGTCTTGAGCTGCTCTTGGGCAGTCTTCAAGCTCTCCTGTGCTGTTTTGGGGCTCTTTTGGTGGCCTCGGTCTCGGGGCGATCTTCGGGGCGTCTTCGGCCATCTTCGAGCGTTGAAGCTCGAGAACGCGAGGAAGCGAAAAACGTGCGAAACAAACTATTGAACATCAAAAATATGAGCCGCTTCGGGCTCTCTCGGGGCGCCTCTCGGAGCTCTCCTGGGGCCTCTTGGAGGGCTCTCGGGCTGTGTATTGGCCGTGTTGGGCCTGCGTTGGGGCCATCAAAGCCGTCTTGGAGCGTCCTGTGGCCCCCCTCCCGCTCTGGGGCCTAGCTTGGGCCTGTCCTGCGGCTCTCTTGGGCCGTCCGAGGCTCGTCCCGGGCAATTTCCGGGCTCCCTGGGGTAGCCTTGGGGCTTTGTTGGGGGTCGTCGGCTGTCTTGGAGCGTCGGAAGGTCGAAAACGCGAGAAACAGGAAAACATAAAAACAATGAAAATGGTGGATTTGGGCCTCTTCGGGCTCTCTCGGGACGCCTCTCGGCGGTCTCCTGAGGCCTCTCGGAGGCCTCTTGGGCCGTGTATTTCCGGTCTGGAACCCATCTCGGGCCACGTTGGGGCTTTCTGGGCTGTCTTGGATGGGGATCGTCTAAATCCTCCGGGGGCTTCTGGAGGCGTTTTCGAACTCTCTGGGGCAGCGCGGGGGCCCCAGGGCCGCTCTGGGCCACGCTGGGGGCGGCCTGGGAAACCCTGGTCCCCCCATGTCCCCCCGTGGCCCGGGCCCCCTCATATATATATATATATATATATATATATATATATATATATATATATATATATATACACACACACATACACACACACTTACATGCACATAAGCAACATACATGTACCCATACATATACATATGCATATACATGTACATAAACTATGCACATACATATATATGTATATATACATATACATATACATATACATATACATATACATATACACATACATATACATATACATATACATATACATATACGTACACAGATACATCTACACCTAAAATTACATATACATATACATATAACTATACATATCCATATACGTATACGTATACATATACATATACATATACGTATGCATGTACATGTACGTATACACATACATATACATACACATGTACATATACATATACATATACATATACATGTACCTATACATATACATATACATATACATAAGCACATACGTATACCTATACACACATACACATATACACACATACATCTATATATATATATATATAACATCAACTTGCATATACATACGTATGTGGGTACGTTGGTAAACCATCACCTTCTGCGAGCCCTTTTGATGTTCCTCGGGGGTTCCACTCCTTCCACTTTGGCATTCAGGATGTACCAACTGTCTTCGTCCTAACTTGTTTACAATTTCTCAAATTATGGCAGGCCTTCCTTTGACATCGTCCTCTTGCTGCTTCCCCAGGCTGGCTTTCGCGCATTCTGATGCTGTTAACCGACCGCTAAGGACCCTAAGCAGGTCGTCATCACCTTCGTCCTGCAACATGCAACTCATGGTATCCAACTTGTCGCGTAAGACTATTTCGAGCCTTCCGGCACTGTGGGTTCACTGGCGCCAGTGCGTTCAATAGCTTTTCGCTCCACTCGCGGAATTTCGTTCGGTCACCAACGCAAGCTTTGAGCTGTTGCGTGGCCTTGTATTCGCTAGTTGGCTTTTGGTGTCCTCCTGGCATGCCAGTTCCTTCTGTGATTGATTCGGCAAATTGTGTGGCCAGTTCCATTGTGTTTGTCTGCACTTTCGTTTGGGCCTCAAGGTTCTCGGTTCTTAACTGAAGTTGCTTACCTGCTCTTACTGCGTACGTGCTGCGGCTCACAATGCTGAACAGCAAGGAGCTCATGGTCTGGGTCATGAGTAACGGCCCGTACCCCTCGCTGGTGACGGTCCTGACTCCAGCTGCGGTCTGTTTCCCAATCAACTGTTTCACCCCCTCACGATTAGCTGCCAATGCCACTTCTACGCACTTGTAGTGGCCCCCATACTACGCGGCCTCACATATTTCACTGCACCTCGATGGGCTTGAATGACACCATTCCTCGGTCCTGAAGCATGTTTAACTCCGGGAGCGGATCTCCTGGATGAGCCGATGCTGCTGCCGCTGCTGCCGCGATTGCCATTGACCTCGCTACGCTACAATGCAAATTCCCGAAAACGACTCAATCATGATATCGTTGTGGTAGACAGCTCATGCCAGACGACGTGCGCTGCGCGGGGGGCCGAGGGCACCCCGACCGAGGACGCAAGCATGCTAGGCACCAATGCCGCCAGCAGAGCGAGAAGGACTGGGAGGGAGGGGGGGGGAGACTTGAGCGAGGTAAACAGCGGCGGATCACGCACGACACTCACAAACGCCTCTTGCAGAGCTAAATGTGGTAGACATCTCACGCCAGACGATGTGTTTTGCGCGGGGGGCCGAAGGCATTCCGACCGAGGACGCAAGCATGCTAGGCACATATACCGCACCCAAGCACGCTAGCTTGGTGCACTGGCCAGGTGGCCGCCCCGAAAACAAAACATCAGCACGAAGCGACAGCTTGCTGGGTCCTGGCGATCGAGGCTAAACTGCGTGCGCTCCTGAGCGCTGCGCGCGCACCCTCAGCGGCCGCGATCTTCGGGGCGTGACGCGCCTGGGTTCTTTGGGCCGCGTCCAGATGAGGAAGCCTGAGAGAGCCCAAATGAAACTTGTTCGACCTATCACACCTACCGCGAGAACACTTGCAACGACTAGACAGCTCAAGAAGGCCATGGACGTGCCATCCCACGAGGCGCCAGGCGCGGTGCATTCGCCCTTCGAACATACAAGCATCGAAACACGCCTCCGACGAGGCGAGCGGCAGGAGGCGGGTGGCGAGTGGGTGGTGCCACAAGGCACTGCTAGCAGGATGTTCTGATATGGTAGGAACTTTACACTGCACACACACACACACACACACACGCGCACGAGCAAGGCCTGCATTAGTTTGTGGACCTCAGCATCAGCAACTCCCACACGCGCCTCTAAGAAAGGACTAAGGCCTGGGAGACCGAAAAGCCGAACCGACGACCCGGCAGGGGGCCTGGCCCAGACGGACCAAGAGGGCAGCCCAGACCGAAACCCGGACCCCGCAACACACGAATCGCGAATCCAGCCATGGACGACGAGCGAGGCACCAGGCGCACACAGGTCGTCGGAGGGGCCGCGGCTCGGGTCCAGGACGACGGCGCCGATGTCCCGTTGGCGACAAGCGCTGCCAATCCGCTCGAGACACGAGCCGCACAGCAAGAACATGAAGCGTGGAATGGCGACGCTGAGAGCAATAGCCCTCCTGAAAAGTCGGGTCAGCCGAAGCGCCGCCAACCGCTGTGCTGAGGGGCCCGCGTCCGCCTCGCCATCAGCGACCTGGCGAGACGGCTGAGCGAGACGTCGATGACCACCTCTCGCGGCCCCTGATCTCCATCCTCGAACGAGGGCCCGAGAGGTCGTCGGAGGCACGCCCGTGCCTCAGCGCGTGGAGGGCCGAGACGGCGCCCCAGATGCCCAGCTTGACCAGCGCCGCGCGGAAGGCCAGGCAGATTGCCGACGGCGTGAAGATCACCAGCGGGTCCTTCGCGAAGCGGCCCAGCTTCGAGCCCTGGAGGAGGGGCCACAAGCAAGCGATGTCCAAGATCACGCGCTCGCCCGTGACCACCGTCTTCCCAGGGCCGCCCGTCGACGCGCCGTTGACGATCATGTCCCAGGGCAAGTAGCCGTCGGTCGAGCCCGCTCTCGGCTCCACCAGGCTCCCCGTGACGAGCCGGTAAGCCTCGCTCGGCCTCGAGCACGCGTCGACAGCGAGCCGCGCGAAGACCGCCTCCCCGAACTTCCTCTCCAGGATGAAGAGGCCGACCACTGCGAGCATCGCTAGGCGTGGCATCGGGAACCTCTTCTGGGGCGGCCCTAGCCGCACCCAGCCCCGGGGGCCCCGCGTGGCCGATGGCGCATGCCGCAGCATTGCCAGCATGCGCGACACCGAGCGACGGGGGGCTGTCCTCGCCATGCGTCCCGCCGCCGTGTCGAAACCGCCCATGCAGAGGTTCCCAGCAGGGGAGCGCCCAACGCGGCGGCATTCGCGCACGACTGAACCGTCCACGTGCACAACTGGTGGGGGCGCAGGGCGTGGGCTCCGTAGGACTCCAGCGTCCGCTGCGTCACCTCCGCGTTCTCGAGGCAAAGGGGCCTCGCCGTCCTGCGGCCGAGCTGCCCCTGGGTGGTGAGGGCCCCTCTGGACGTCCAGCCCCAGTGCGCCGCTCGGCGGCCTGCCCGACATCTCCGCCGTCGAAGTCGTTCCACGGCCCCAAGGAGAAACCTCCCCGAGGGCCCATCTGCGACGTTCCGCTCACTCGGGATCCATCGCACGATGACTCGGATGCCAGTATGCGCCGAAGGCGTTGGGAGCCTGAGCGGTTCTTGCCGCAACTCAGAGCCAGAGCCAAATTGTCGACGAGAAATAGGATACGACGTCCGTGGTTACGAGAATTTCGAGCAGCATGCCGCACAGCAAAGCACAGTGCCTCCCCCTCATACCCCAGAATATTGAGACCATTCCGGCGATGACGCATTGAATGAATGATAACCCAATCCGCCGAATCGTAAAGCACCGACGGTACCTCGACGGAGTCCGAGCCCGAGGCGATGTCCTCCTCCCCGAGTAGCACGGCCGAAGGCAGTGAGCATCCAGCAGCAGCATCTTGATGGCCCGAAAAAACCTGTCCTCCTCCAAACGCATGTGATCAGACAGAGGCGGCCTCGGAAAATCTGCACCTCCATTGCTCGGCAACCCCCCCGTGGACGAGACGACACCAGGGCCCAACCTTTTAAAGCGCACCCCTCTCTCCCGTACGGCGAGGCGTCCGACGCGCAGCAATTGCCGATCCACGGAACGCGCGCCGATGCCCACATCAACGGCAGCAACCCCGCCACGGCTGAGAGTTCCTGTCGTGCCGATGGCCATAACTTTATGGGAGTAGGCCCAGCACTTTGGATGAAACGATAAACCCCGTTGAATATCGACAGGCACTCTCTCCGCATAATCATAGCCCACGTGGCGCGGCCCTCGACTGACGCGATGGCCCCGCGCGAGGCCGAGCCACGGGCCAGCAAGGCAAGAATGGCTCGGCGCAGCCTGGCCACACGGTCGGGTCTCACGCGTAGCCTACCCGTCTTGCCCGAGAACTGGATGCCCGCGAAGACGCCGTCGGTCTGCGCCTCCGTGAAGTCATGCACGGGAAGACCCCTCGACGCGAGGAGAGCCGCCAGCTCCCGTGCCTTTGCGGTCGCCACCGACGCCGTCTGAGACACGACACAGAAGTTGTCGACGTAGCCCGCCGCCACCAGATCCGTCTTGGAGACCAGCGGCTCAGGGGCAGCCCCGTCGACCAAATGCCGACAGGGCTCGATGCCGACGTCAATCGTGCCACGCACCAGGACGGACTGGCAGTAGAACAACGCCCAGTTCCATCCCATGGGCATAACGCGCACGACGGGCTGCAAGATGGAGCGGCCGCCAACGCGCATGCCGCCGACCTTCTGCAGCCCAATGAAGCGGCTCGAGATCGGCGGCAGGCGGAAGCAGTCGCCGCCCCCGCTCGGGATCGCCAAGTGTTTTTATATAAAAAAGAAAAAACGCACTGGATGTCGCCCTGGGCCACGTAGAAGTCGCCTGTCGATTCGAGGGGCGCCCGGGCCGGCGGCGTCGGCAGCACCGTGGTCCAACCCTCGCGTCGAACACCAGGCGGAGCTTGCCCCCCGCCTTCTCGGCGAAGAAAATCGCGACATACTGAAAGAAGAAGAATAAGAAGAAGACACCACGCTCCACTCAATCATGTGGTGGCGCAGCATCGTGTTCAAAAACTCAGCATACTTCCGAGGGTCGCGCAGCTGCGGGTCGACGTAAGGTTGATGAACGCCCAACGTTTCCTGCAGCTCGTGAACATCGGCATCGGATCTCAGCATACTCTGCCTCCGACCCTCCAACTGGACGGCATCGTCCCGCTGCGCGACGGAGGACACCTGAACGGCAGGCCCTGCGAGCGCGGGCCAGGCCACGAGGGCCATGTCGTAGGGTTTGACCCGTGGGCTTTTCTGGTAGCCTGGGGTCGTGGCGAGCACCTCTGCGAGGGATGCTTCACAAAACTGTCGTTGCTCACTGTAGCCAGCAGGCAACTCGAAACTGCGGCGCTGCTCCTGCAGCTCCTCGATAGCGGCACGTTGGGCCAAAGAAGCTTTCCCTGCTCCGCGGTCGCCAGGAGCCATCTCAGCGCGGCCATGGAGCCAGTTGAGAGCGTCGGCGCCCTCGTTGCACCGCTGGCGCCAGGCCGCACCTCGGGCAGCACGCTGCCGGGGTCGCCGACCAGAGACCGCGTGCAGCCTCGCGTCGACGTCCAGCAGAGGAAGCGGCAGGGCACCCCGCTGGCGCTGGCGGGGCGCCCGCGGCACACCCAAGCCAGGCAGAGGCCCGATGGGCCCGGGGAAAGACGAGCTGGGCAGCCCTGGGGCTGGCCCCCCCCAGCTCGCGTCCTTCGGGGCCGTCATGGCGCCCGCAACGCGCGCTCCTCACGCGCCTTGCGAGGGATGTGGGTCACCACCGCCTCCTTCTTCATCTGCTCTGAGAGGTACTGCATCAAGGCGGAACGGATGCAAAGGTTGCCCTTAGCCTCACCGATGCCAAAGAAGTGGCCGACCTCGGTGGGCAGGGGACCCTGGCCAGCACCCACCTTTTTGCCCTGGCCCTTCACGGCCGCGGCGGTCCTGCGGGCCCTCTCGTCGTAGGCCCTCCCCTCGATGAGCTGCGGCTGCCTCGCCAGGTACTCGAAGCTCGCCAGCTCCGCGAGGGCCCCTCGGTCGTACACCAGCACGGTCTCGATGATGCGATAGATCGTCTCGTGCTGCATCGCCGTCTGGTCGTGCTCCGCGGCGGCCACGACGGCCAGCCAAGGCGCGGGCCACGCCCACGCGCCCCCCGCCAGTTTGAGCATGGAGCTGAGGACCCAGAGGAGCGCCCGCGGGCTGAGGACGGGCCAGTCGCCGCGCCCGAGCTCGGCCTGCTCCTTGAGCGCGTCGCCCAAAAGGTCGGCGAGACCGACACGGGCGACTCCACTGCCAGGGCGGAAGGCGCGGAGGGCCCCCGCGGCCCAGCAGCGGGAGGTGGCGACCAAGCCCGCGGGCCGCGGGGCTGCAGCAGCCCAGGCGACATCCCGAGCGCGTTCCCATCGCCGAGGTGCAGGCTGAAGTCGTCGGCGCCCCTCGCGCCAGCTCCTCCCGCAGCGGTGGGGCGCAGGGCGTCCCAGCCTTCTCCCGCCGAGGGCAGGCGCCTGCAACGGTAGACGCTGCCTGACGCCACCCCGTCGACAGCAGCACCCATCCGCGCGAGCAGCTCGAGGCGAAGAACGTCGCGAGAGGGAGCCTGACCTTCAGGATGCACATCGAGATCGGACGTCATGATGCAGCGACCCATGATCACCAGTCGTTCGTACCAGATCTCACGCCATGGGACGTCGAACCTGACCGCGTAGAAGCTGCCCGGCCCCAGTGCCATGGCCTCGGCAGCTGATCGCGCCCCCGTGGGACGCCACCCGCGCCCGCTCCGCCGCTGCCCTTGAAGTCGGAGCCCGCGCCGTCGAACTGCGGGCCCTCACGGATGACGCGCGCCCCCGCGATCGCGATCCCCACCACGAAGCCGCGCGAGAAACCCAAAGTCCAGATCCAGCCAGGGCCCGCTCCGAAGACCCAGTCGACAGATGTCTTCCCCCCGAAGAGCAGGAGCAGGAAAAGGGGAGGTCACGTCGGCGTAGGCCGACAGACGCACGCGGAACACGGACCAGCAGCGGCACGCACTATCACTGCCGTCCGAAGGGAGCGGATGAGATCGGGGGCCGCAGCTGCCAGGAAGGCTCACATCCCCTGAAAGACTTGAGCGAGGTAAACGGCGGCGGATCACGCACGACACCCACAAACGCCTCTTGCAGAGCTAAATGAGCATCAGACTGTAAAAGCTGTACCACTGTTAAGCACTTGAGCTACGTGTCAACGGTAGCGCTAACACCTGACTGAGAAACGCGTGACTGGGTTCCTCACCCAGTCGCATGGCCATGTTCTAATAAGTTTCCCTCCTCCTACTCCTCCTCCTCCTCCTCCTCCTCCTCCTCCCCCCTCCCCCTCCCCCTCCTCCTCCCATGCCTCCTCATCCTCCTCCTTATCCTCCTCCTCCTCCGCCTCCTCCTCCTCCTTCCTCCACCGCCCACCCTGTGTCTCGATCCTGTCGCAGGGTCATCGGCTCGTCGTTGTCGTTGTCGTCGTGGTCGTCGCGGTGGTCGTCGTCGCCCTCCTTCTGGGTCGGCGGCAACGGCCGCAAGGCCTTCGCAATATGTGTGCATGTGGCCAGGCGCGCTACAGTGCCACTACATGATCGAAACTCGTTTGCAACGCGAGCGACTAACAAGAGTGGTACACTGGACATCTGCGTGTGCAAGTGCATGTGCATTCAAACAGCTTTCGATCCTGATAGTGGTTCCTGTAGTGCACAGTTCACTTGAGCATAGAGCATGTCACATCAGTCTTCCGCAGACGTTTTGAGCGCAAGCTGCGTTGCAAAAGATCGGGCTCCCCCCGGGAGCTCACACGGCAGCGGAGCGGTGAGTTCCGTTCCCTCGCTGCTGCTGCGCCCCGCTCTTGGTGCTCTTGGCCGCGCCGGAGCACGCCCCGCCGCCGAGCGAGGCCCTGATCGAGGCGCCGCCCTTGATCATGTCCGCCTTGCCGGAGACCTTCCGCATCTTCTTCGAGGAGGTCGCGCCGACGACCGTGCAGGAGCGGGCCGCGCCGACGGCCTTGCAGTTTCGTGTTCTTGTCGTTCTTGTTCGTCGGCATGGCCGGCAACGAGGACAGCGTGGACGCCTGGAGCCGGATTCCGACTTGGGATGGCGACCGGAGAGGCTGGAAGAATTACAAGCGCGACGTGGAGCTCGACCTGGAGACGGAGAAGCTGAACGTGGACTTCAGCCATGGTGCGCGCTTAGCGAAGCGCCTGACCGGCACCGCCAGGAAGTGCGCGGAGAACATCCCGCTGGCCGACCTCCGGCGGGAGGATCAGGAGAACCCGACGCGCGAGGGCATGGCGAAGGGCGTTCGTCACCTCATGGCCAAGCTGGAGCAGGCGATGGGGGTCGAGGATGCCTCCAAGAAGGCCCGGGTGCAGGAGTTCTTCTACAAGCGCTTGCAGCGACGGCCTGGGCAGTCGATGGCCGAGTGGGTGCAGGTGTTCGAGAAGGCCGTGCTGGACATGAAGGAGGAAGGCTTGCAGGTGGACCTAGACCACATGGGCTGGCATCTTTTCGAGAAGACCGGCTTGACCCTTGATCGGCAGGAGCGTCTTCTTGGATTGACTGATGGTGAATATGATTACGGCGCTGTGCGCAGAGGACTTATCAAGCTGTTCCCCGACGGTGTGATCCAATCGGAGCGCCGACGAGAACCGGATCCGCGACGGGAGGCATTCCGAGGAGGAGGCAGACTCCCACCGAGCGGCCGCTTCGGTAAAGGAGGTGGCGCCCAACGTGATCAGAAGACTGGGCGCTTCCAGGCGCACGCTGCTGCCGCAGAGGATGGCGAGGAGGCTCCCGCGGAGAGCTACGAGGAGCACCGCGAATTAGGACATGATGATGCCGACGTGTCTGAGGCCTTCGAGAGGGAGTTAGACGCCTTGGCAGCGACGGTGGATGAGCGTGCGGGTCAGCTGGGGGAGGACGACCTGGAGGACCTCAGGGAGCTAGCCGACAGTACTTATGAGGGGCTGGTGACGATCAAGGAGACCCACGCCAAGCTGAGGGAGAAGGCGAAAGCTCGAGGCTATCCACGAAGTTCCGCAAGCTCAAGTTCGAGAGCGCCGCCGCCGCCGGCTCCGCATCCAGGCCAGAAGGGCCGGGGCCAAGGAGGAGGCCCAAGAGGAGGACGAGGCCGGGACGGCGACCAGAGGCGCAAGGAGATCGAGCGGAAGAAGTTGGTCACGAGGTGCAACGATTGCCACAAGTTCGGGCACTGGTCGGGCGACCCCATCTGTGAGAAGAAGCCGGAGTCAGAGGCCCACGTGTGCGATGTGTGGTTGGAGTCTTTCTTCAGTGACGCGCAGCCCATGGAGAGGGCGTTACTGCCAGCTGGAGCTTGCGACACCTGCTGTAACCGGACTGTAGCCGGCACAGAGTGGCTGGAGGATTACGTGAGCATGTTGCAGGAGAGGGGCCTTCCCTTCTGGACGGTGCCGTGCAATGAGAAGTTCCGATTTGAGTCAGGCGAGCCAGCTTCTTGCAAGGAGGCTTATTTTGTTCCTGTCACCGTTCATGGTGGTCAGGCGGTGCTCCGAGCCTCCGCTGTCTCAGGACGGTTGCCTCTTCTGCTGGGCAAGGACGCTCTGCGGGCGATGGAGACGAGGATTGACTTGAAGAGCAATCGAGGCGTTTTCCCCGGTATTGCACGTCAGGATCCTGGACGCGCGCTGGAGGAGAGCAAAGCAGGTCATCTACTATTGCCCCTGGTGCCGCAGGAGGGCTGGCAGATTGTGGATTTCAGGCCGTCGCAAGAGGCAGCTGTGCTCACACCCTGCCATCTTAGCGGTGCGGAGGCGTTCCGGGCAGAACGCGTTGCAGGTTCGAGGACAGTGCGAGATCTACTTCTTGCTTCTGGGAGTCATGTTTATATATATATATATCAAAAATCGCTGAGTTCTTTAGTTCACCTGTCGGAAGGTGGTGGGCAGGCCAGCCCAGCAGTTCAAACGTGGACCGCACCAGCAGTCAGGATCATGTTGGGAGCACCCACCTGCCACGCGGCGTACCTGGAGCACACATCGGCAGCGCTTCGTCAACACTTACACTGACAGGAGGGGCAGCAACACGAGTGAGCAGACGAGACCTCGGTTGTCCTTCATCGGACCATGCATCGGCTATCATCTTATGACGGCAGGCAGTGACGCGCAAGCGTGCCTCAAAAACCTGCTGTGGGGTACCACGGGCTGACACTCTCCTGGCATTATGGGCGGCCAAGAACGCATCAAGACACGCAGCACGCTTCAGGCAGGCAGGCACAGAATCACAGTGGAGGAGGTTCTGGGAGTCATGCTTATTTGGGTTTGCATCGCATGTTCCGGCGCCTGAGGAGACAGAAACGTGAGGAGGATGGTCAACGACAGGCTTTTGGAGCTGAAGTACAGTCATCACAACCACAGCAGCCTCCACAACAGCCGTCGCAGCAATCACCACCACGACGAGCTTGTCCGGTACGTGGAGCTGCCGGGCGCCCGTCGCTGATGTTGACCGCGCTCCTGGCAGCGCGCGGTTCGATGCAGAATTCACCTAGCGGCGAGGGCAGGCACGTGCAGCTCAAGGCGGACAGCTGCGAGCCTTGGAGTGCCAACCTGACCGGCCTTGACGACTGCGGCTGGTTCGAGAACGCCAACAAGAAGGTGTGCAAAAAGGGCACTCACAGCCTGCTGTCCGCGGGCATGAAAGATTGGGCTGCTATGGGGACCTCTCCCGCTCGAGTCCAAGAGGCCATGGCTGCAGCGATGGAGCAGATGATGACCGAGGAGATCCAGCGAAAGGATGAGGATGAGCCTGCCGAGGATGAGCCTGCTGCCAAGAGGAAGCTGCCGCTGGACAAGCAGGAGGACCCAGGAGACGCCACAGCAGCAAGAGGAGACGCCACAGGAGCAAGAGGAGACGCCACTGGTGCAAGAGGAGACGCCACGGGAGCAAGAGGAGGAGCCACAGGAGACGAGGAGATGCCACAGGAGCAGGAGGACGAGCCAGGCGCCAAGAGGAGGATGTCGGGGATCAATACATCGTCTGGTGCTGCGCGCGTGAAGACAGAGCTGCAGCCGCTGAATGTTGGAGAGTGGTTCCGTACGTCCGATCACCCGGTGGTTGGAGAGATCTTCACGCACGTGCAAAACATCAAGCGAGCGGCCGAGCGCAAGATGTATCCGACGATGAGGTCCTACTCCTTGGAGTTCGGTGACGATGTGAAGCTACCCGAGGTGATGAACAAGATCAAGGAGCAGGTCGGTAGGTTGAAGCCGCGGGGTCTGGTGATGTCCTGTTCTTACCGGCTATGGACTCTTCTGCAAGAATTCATGCAGAAGCCGGCTGACAGGGCGAAGCTGGACAAGGAGCGAGCCGAAGAGCAGGTGATCCTGGAGTTTGTCGAGGAGATGTGCGAGCTCCAGCACCAGTTGGGCGGCATCTATCTCATCGAGAACCTGGCAGGGGCGACGAGTTGGAAACAGCCTCCGATCTTACGGCTGCTCTCGAAGAGGCACGCCCTCCAGGAGACCTCTCACCTCTGCATGTTCGGCGTGAAGAACCCCATGACGAAGGAGCCGCTGAAGAAGATCATTCGGTTTGTGACGAACAGACCTACTGGACGAGATCACGCGGAAGTGCCGAGACCGACACGTCCATGGTACCATGACGTCGATGACTAGCAAGGATAAGGAGGCGATCGGCTGGTACACGAGGGCCCTGGCGCAGGCGATCATTCGAGGAGTCG